TAATTTCTAAGTAAATCTGACATGAGCCAAGTGCTCTGGTCTTTGGAAGACAGTGAGCAGATAAACAGGACAAACAACAGACCACTGGGATCCCATTGCTTCACACTTTGGGCAGAGAATCTCTGAACAATTCAAACTGGAAGTCACTCAGAGGATTTTAGTCCATTCTTCCATATTGCTTCCTAAAGGTCTTTTCCTTCAGACTTTCAAACAAGTGCTTACATGTTGCACCCATGCAAAGAAATTTCCTGCAGCTGGCATTAGTTGTATCTCACTTGGAAGGTGGGAGGAAACTTTGGTGAAATGCAAGAGTTAATACAGTGTACCAAATTTAGCCCTGGATTTTATATTTTTTTTCTGAAGCCAATGACAATTCAAAACTTTTGGCAAAATACGAACCTTATAAACCAAATTTTCAGGATTCCTGCCCTTCTCTTGGATTTACATGCGTATTGTGAAATGATCCCATTGTAAAACCAACTCATCTCATAGGGGTGTGGGAGAGAAAATGACATTTTCTAAGTGTCATTACTCAATTACCTTCACTCCTCTCCTTTCTTGTTTAAGGTCTTTTCAGTTAATAAAACCCATAGATTCTGAAAGCAATATTGAGGAGAGAAAAGTGAGATGAGAGTATCTTGAAGATTATCCTTTTTCAAAAAAATTTTGCAACCAAGCTTCTTACATAATAATAATAGAAGATAATTATCTCTTTCTTTTGAACAGAATTAATTTTTTTTCACAATCATCAGGACTTCATAAAATGATAATCTCTTCTGTTTCAAGTCCCATATTTGTATAGAATAAATGGTGAATGCTGGTGGAAAATATGGAAAATGGTGTGAGTGTGGTGGAGAAAGGTTTATCGTCTGTGACCTGTTCCACTTCTAAAGCAAACTCAACTCCATAAAAATGACGCATTTCTTCTGGGTATCCACGGAAAGATTATCATGTTTTTCCTGAATTCAGTTACTGTCATCAAATTTTCCATAGCCTTTAAAGGGTTCAGTCATCTCTCTTTTGCACAAGGAATTCTTTATGCAAAACATTCTGTAACTTTTGAAGAGAGCCCTGAACACTTGTTGCAACCAGTCCCACCACTGTTCCCTAGTGGAATCTCTCTTAACACAGGGGCTGGGTTTTCTGTCCTCATTTCCAGTACTTCAGGCGAGATCTAATTCATTAGAGGGTCATTTGTGTTTTACTTATTCATAAAGGAAGAGCTGAGGCATCATCTTAGATAAAATAAAAAAGGAATTTTTTGAGAAAATAAAGGGCCTATCATGGCCAATATGACTCGGGTTTTGTTGTGTGCTTTCTATTTGTAGGGAGACATCCCTAAGGACTACTACTGAGTGATTATCTCTTTGTGTTAGGTCAACACTGTAATAAAAGCCCATTTAGAGATGCTTATTCTTGAACTGAGACTCCAGGGACTTTTCTTTATGGATCTTTTTTCTGTTCTGACACAAATTTTCTATTCATTATTAGTAATAGAAGGAGAGAATACCTTGAAGGAGCATAGTGTCTGAGCAGCCATTATTTAATTTTTGAGACTTGTCTTCACAAAATTTAATTCCCTAGAACATAAACCAGTAAGAACAAAATCCATGTACATAACTTGCCCATTGTACAGAAGGATTAACAAGTTATTAATGGATCCATCTGAACTTGTGAGAAACATCTGCATCCTTGCACACAATTTCAAGCATTCTCCAGTAAGTTTGGAATACATTGGTGAAGAAAATCAGTAAAGCAGTATGGATAAAAGCTCTCCTAGTGCTTGCATTCAGATGTAGGAGGAATGATTTCTCATCACTTTTATTAAATTAAAGTTGCAGAAAAAGCAGAATGCATTGACCTCTTCACAGGCTGTGTGTGCGTGTATGCAGCGAGTGGATTCAGTGACGTGCCTCCTGACCCTGCCTTTGCAGAGACAGAGAAGATGATGTTTTCACATACTCAGCTCTTTGATTTCCTTTCCACTAGCCATAATTAACATTTATTCAAGCAACATTAGGAAAAACATAAATATTTCAAAGAAGCTAATTACAGCATCCAAAACATCCTCCAAGCTATTCAGTTAATGAGGATGTGTTTTGTTCCTGCAATAGTGTAACATTAATTTCATCAAGCAATTAAACAAAACAAAACCAGATACAATAGAGAAAGACGTATTTTGTTCTTCTGTTTACAAGAATGCTTACTTGATTTTCAGTTAGTTCCTTGAATAAGATGACTCTCATAAACCATACAAGTGTCCTGTAAACTCAGATTCAAGCTTGGTAAACTTGGTCTGTCAAAATTTGCACCAATTTCAGTAGAAATATTAACTTGGTATAATATATAGTCTGAGCTTAGTGCAAATGTACATTTTTGATAGAAGTTACATTTTTTTTTCTGGTATATTATAAGGAGGATTATAACTATGCCCAAATCGTTTACCTTACCCAGGTATCAGGCAATGCAAAACTACACTGATGCTTTTAGTAAAAATGCATAGTCTAAATGAAATGGAGTTCACAGTAGGTTGGAAGTACTGGAGGAGTGTAGCCTGTTAGGATTCAGACACTGTAACTCATGGCACAAATAGGATTGAATGCGTAGTGGCTACTGGTTCTGCCCATTAGCAGGAATATGCTGAAAACAAAATTCACATTTCAGATGAAGGATTATCAAGCAATACAAATCCAAGCAAGTGAGAAATATTTTTTTTTTTTTTTTAATGGTAAATGGAAGACCAGAAATTTTCTACCTGGAATTTTTTTCCCATTGTCTTCAAAATCTCCTGATATGTTTTTGTGCAAGTGGGCTCAGCAAAATTTTTCAGTTTGCAGTACTAAAACACACTGCAAAAATGCAACTTCTGGGCAAATCAGGCCCTTTCACCTGAAACTAAAGTTTAATTCAAGAGGTATCTTTTTTTCAGTATTCTTAAAACACTCTGCACCACTCAACAGGTGCAGAATATCCACAGGTATCCTGCACTCAAATCATAATGGACTGTAATTTATTTTATTTCACAATCTATTAAATATTTAACAAGACTGTAATTATTAAAATGCATAACAAATTAAATCTTTCCTTAGGCTTAAGCCTAAAAGGACACTGATTCATGCAGTTGAATCAAGATAGATTAGGGAGATACCTTTCAGCACTTATGACTCCCCATTTACGATAATTTCTTCAAATAAATGTGTTCTGCTTTTATTAATGAAAAACCAGAACTAAATGCAATCCCTCAATTAAGACTGTTTTTAAAAAACGCTTTTAATTAGGTAGGTACAAATACAATCATACATACAAAATACAGGCTTCTTCAATTTATGTACTGGTCTGATAACTGGCTCTCCATTGACACGAGGATTAGCTCTGTTCCCAGACATATAAAGGAAAGCTTTGCTACTGAATCTGATAGAGAAGATGCTTTTATTACTAAAAGAATTTTATAGCATCCTTAGCATGTTACCTGGCAAAGATTTTGCAATTTCCATGGCCTGTCAAGGTGTCCAAGGGTGGCAGTGCCCACTTTGTTTCACATCCAATTTACAGAGGTGAAGGCAAAGAGCAGACATCAACACCATGGCTGTAAATCAAAGTTTTGTTTTATTTCACAGTAACAGCAGCCACTCTTGTCAGGCAGATTTACTCCACCATATACTATTTAGCCCCAGTCAAAACCCACAGAAATGGTAAAAAAGAACTGCAAGTTGTTTTGGAAAATCCTATTGCATTATTGTCACATTGCAGGACTGTGATATACTAATTTCCTTTCACAGAATAAAAACAACCAAGAGAAAAAATATGAGTGAATGGAAAAAGAAGGGAAAACAAATAGCAGACTCTAAACTAGGATCTCCTGCCCTGAAACCATGTCTGTAGCATTGGAGCAGCACCTCAGCTGTACAGGCTCTTCCTGGAGCAAATGGTGAGAAAGCACAGATAGTCAGACTTTCACCATACTTCAAAACCAGATCTTGCTGCTGGGCTCGGTGTGCGGAACAGGTCAGAAGTAGCTTGAGCATCTTGCTCGCTCATCATTTGTTGGATCTGGCAGCAGGAGGAAGGGTGGACTTGGGTAGCTACTCTGGTAAGCCAGACCTTGCTGTGCTTCAGGGATGCCTGGACTAAACTGCCCAAGTACCTTAGCACATCTGCAGTCTGTGTTCTTTTGTCTGCCATATAATGTAGTTGCTTTCACTATCTACAGGCACAAATAACAACTGGGACCAAGGTCTGCAGCTGTATTATAAGTAAAATACCTCGCTAGGCACAGTATTAGGATTTTAATCGCTAAATATTACCACATCGCCGAGTTCTGTTTCGTGGTGTGGCATTATGTGTGCCTGTAAGGCACAGGAGAAGTCAGGAGGCAGTCACACCCCTGCAGCCGGGCAGTCCTCACAACATTCAGTGGGCAGTCTGCGGGTGCCCATTCCCAGAGCCCCGTGTCCCCAGAGCCACCGCCGGTTTCTCACTCATGCAAGCCCCACGAGAATTTCTCCCACGTTCAGCTAGCTGATCAGCTAGTGGGGCAGATCAGCTGGTGGGTCCGATATACCCACTTTAAATCACGCCTCCTCTCCCCCGTGCAGGGGGCCGGGGCAGCGTCTGAACCCCACTTTGCGGCCCCGGTTTCATCTCTGCGAGCGTCCCCGGCAGGGAGGGAGCAGCGCCTTCCGCGCCAGCCACCGCGGCTCCTGCAGGGCTCCGGGACATTAAAACATGGACTTTCTTTTTAACGAGGGGGTTTAATAAAGGGTCTGGAGCCCGGCCAGCGGCTCGGCTCTGTGCTAAGCAGGGGCACCCACCGCCCCAGCACGGGTTCCAGCGGCCCTGCGCCGGGGCGGAGCGGGCTGAGTCACCGGCCGGGGCGAGCGGGGCAGCCCTCCCGAGTCGGGCTGGGGCTCGTCCACGTGTCGGGGGATTTAAAAAGTTGGGGCAGGCAGCGAGGACATGCCCAGAAGAGCGGCTGGCAGAGCAGCGGGAGCTCCGCGGACATGGGACACCGGTGGCACCGCCAGCCCCCCGCCGCCAGCCCCGAGCGCAGCCCGGGGAAGGGAGCAGGCGGCACGGCGCTGCCCGCGGCCCCGCTCCTCCTCCTCCTCCTCGTCCTCCTCGCTTCCTCCATTTCTGCTTGCAAAGGTGAGGATCACGCCGCTCGCCACCCCCTCCTGCTGTGCCTCCAGCTCTGCGCTGTGTTAGGGAGCGGGGTGCCCGCAGCCTGCGGCAGGAGCGGGACAGCTGCTGGGCACGGCTCGGGGATTGGGCTGCGGAGCCTCTTCCCCTGTCCCGGTACGATCACTCTGTCCTGGCAAAACACTCCGGCAACTCGGGGAATAGGCTTTTGTGAAAAGAGATTTAATTCTAAGTATAACTTAGTCTGACTTTAAAAAGGTAAGAAAAGGCATGAAACAGCATGTATCACAAAATAGCAGGATAAATTAGGACCCTCCAGCAGTCATTCCAAGCTGTAGCAATATTTATCAGGTGAGGAATCCTGAAAGTTGCTATTTTTGTAGCAGGGGGATCTTGTGAAACATCCAGCTGACTTTTTAACAAACCATACTCTCTTTTCTACTCTATTTTTCCACCTCAGATAAATTAGCTGCTTACACCTTGTAAAGTAACATTACAAAATGCTGTGCAAGGACTGTTTCTATTTTGTTTGTATTATATTTGTGTGATTTGCTTTAGCTGTGAGTTTTTGTTCTGCTTTGTTGTGTTTTTTTTAATATCAATAACCAAAGAAATCTAATTGCAGCATACTTAATATTATGTTAAAAATAAGTTCAGAAGATGTGGAAGAAGGGAGGGAAGGAAGAGGACTGCAATGGAGGGCAGTGGCACACAGTATTTCATCACTGTTTTTACACAAATGATCACCAGGAGCTTGTTTAGGGATGCAGTAGAGGGAAGAGAAGATGTAACAAGTGAGTCCCAGGCTGTGCATCTGGCATTCTACTGCCTTGAAAGAAGTTGAATTTCTTAAAGATGGCAAAATTGAAGGACAAGAGAGCAAATGCGCTGTGAACAGTGCTGATTTTGTAGAAGGATTGCCTCCTCCATGTTCCCTTTAAATAGGAATCTTTTCTTCAATGGCACATGCTTCTTTCTTTCTCTCTCCTTCTTCTCCCTCTTCTCCCTCCTCTCCCTCCTCTCCTCTCTCTCTTTTCTCTCTCTTGCCTTCTTTTTTTCTCCATACCCCTATGGTTATTTTGTGTATTTTACAAAAACCTTAATGTTTCACTGTATGTGCTGTTGTGTAAATTAATTAAGTCCTGTAGGTACTGCAGCCCTGTTCTGGTTGGGGTGATGGAGGAACACTTCTCAGTCTCTGGAGGAACACAGTCCTGGGTGCACAAAACAAATGGGGTTGCACATGAAATAAAAATTTCTGAATATGTAGAGAAAGCTAAAGGAAAGTGAGGAGTGGGTGAAATACTTTATTTTCTCTGTCCAGAAGTTTATGCTACCAAAAAAAGGGAGAAAATTATAATATTCAGGCCTTCCTGCTTGTTGCCCTAAGGTTTACTAATTCATGGTAATTAATTTCTTTAGATCTCCCTGAAAAGCCTTGGGAACCAGTCAGTGGCAGAAGCAGTGATCAGAGATAGGCAGGCAATGCTTTGATGGGGAAGGTGTGCTGATTTCAAGTGTTGCCCTGTTCCATTTTTTAACTAGGATACTAATCCCAGGCAGTATTCCAGTTCTAATACAATATTTGAAAAGCAGAAGAAAACATAAGACAATTGTAGCACCTTTAATTTTTTTGGCATTTTTCTTTCAAATGAAACAAAGAATTGGAAATCAGTTTCCTTGTTATGTGAACAACTCAGAGATTTTTTTAAAAATACTGCTTTTATATAGTGTGAAATTAAGAGCCCCTCTAATTCTTTTTTTTTTTGGGGCAAAGCAAGCATCCATAATAATTAGTCACCTTAAGTTCATGCCAGTAGAAAAATGTGATTTTGAAATCCATCCCTTAATGCCTGGAGCTAACTGCTGTTGTGATCATTGTTATTAGGGGTAAATGTAAAACAAATAACATGGTGATAATTTATTCCCTGCTCACTGGACATTCTAGCTAGGTCCAGAGGTCTGGCACCAATTTCACTCCCAAGGGAGTTACAGCACGTCCCCTCTCTGATACCATTGCGTGGTGTCTGATTCTCATTTCTGTTATTTACAGGGACTCTAACAATACACTGCTATCAGAAATACACTGCCAGGTAAAATAATGTGGTAAGAGGGATGTTCTGGACAATGAGCTGGAAGGGACCCTGAGACAGTGACTTCCATGTCTGCAGCCTGGTTGGTTAGAAGTAGAGAAAGGAGCTGCCCCAAGTTAAGCATAGTTTCACTGCATCATTCTGCAATTAAGAGCACATTTAATCTACTGAGGGAGAAGCTTTTCCACATCACATATGCAAGACAGAGGAAATAAATCCAGTAACACATGTACTGTCTATCAGCTTCTCAAAACAACAGGTTCATATCATGGACACTATTTATATGCAGTTGTACATTACATGGTGCATGTTCAATTCTGCAGCTGTAGCATACAAGAAGGCAAGAAGTAGAGTCCAGATCCTCAGCTTGCAGTGCGTGCACTGGAGGTGAGCAGAGTTCTCAGAAAACTCGAGGCTGTAGGAACTGGAATGTGATTTTCTAAGTGACGCCTAAGAAACTTCCCCACTGTTTATTGCTCAGACGTGGGTGTCCATATCTGCTGTGAACCTGTGAAAAAGCATCCTGCTGTGTTGCTGAAATAGAGCAGGCAACACTGAACCACAGAGCAGCCAGGGTCACAGACTTCCTTGGACCAAGCAGGTCTCAATCTTTGCAGTTAATAGTTGTGCTAGATATGTGTGACATGGGACACTTATACAAATGACCTTCGCTGTACAGCATTGCTAAGCATGGTTTGTGTTTCCAGGTGCACCAATGTCATCCCAAGCGCTTGATTCAGATGAGGATTTGCAGCTCTTGAAAGAGGTAAGCGTCATCTACCATGTGGTATCCTTCCATTTCTTCTGTGCTCATCCTTGCTCCAGTCCCACTTCACTATTCAGTATTTCTCTTGCCCGGAGTTCAGCTGTGTTTTCTTCCAGTATGTCTTCCTGTATGTCTCCTATCCTGGCATTAGCAAAGAGGTGAAATATCTAATTTTCCAGGTGTTCTGAACAGTTGCTTCAGGAGGATGTTTGGACTAGGTGTAGAGATGTAATTCTGAGAAGAGATTGTCTTGTCTCGATGGAGAGCTATGTTTGGTAACTGTCACTGTCCAGGCAAACACTGTCCTTGGAAACATCACAGTGTCCCTCCCATCTGGTACTTTTATAGTCTGTATGTGATACTCAGGAATTGTTTCAACTCATCCAGTCTTGCTTCTTGCATCCTCTGTTTAGCACACAAGGCTGGGACACTGTTCAATCCTATCCTAGCCCTCAGTTTAAGAGGGAAAGGACAAAGTATTGTGTCAATTAGCCTCTCTAACATTTGGCTGATGATTGGTATGATAACTTCCACTCTCATCTCTGAAATGAATGTTTCTTTGACCCTGGAGGGTGATGCAGGTGTTAACACAGGCTCTTCCCTGCCCTTTTGGCACAGATGGAGTGGCAGGGCATAACATGTGGAGAGGCTTTACCCTCCAACTTGCATGCCCTGGTGTTGCTGCAACTATCAACTACAGTGTTGACATTTAATTTAGTAGCTTTTGACAGCATTGGAAACTAAGTGACTCATCAAGGGGGCAGATGCAGAGAGTAAATTTCTTCTGATTGAGACCATTGCAGGAGACATTCCGCTCACTGCCATGTCCTCACAGTTCATATTGGACATGGTGACTCAAAACCTAACCTACTCCAGACTGGCACTTGAACAAGCCCCAGTGACATTTATTACCCAGGAAAAAATGGTACTCTTGGGAAGTAAGATCCTGATAACTATAAGGAGGTTTTGAAAATTAGTTATTTACATTCTGGATTTAAAAAGCTGTTTTATACATTTCTGAATGTCTTGATAAGATCTGCTAGCTGTAAGATTTGTCTCTGTGATGACTGGCAACCAAGAAATAGGTCCTTTTGATTTCTATGAAGAAAATGGTATGCATAAGATACTAAATTTTGTAAAATTTTGTAATAGAAGCAATATAAAAGTTACCATTAGAACTAGAATTATGCTGGACTGGAAAGAGTCAAAAGAAAGACAATTAGATATATAGTTATGTACCCTAAATCAACCTAATTACTCACTCATAGTAGTTCACCAGGGTTCCATAAAGTGCAGATTCTTCACTCTTTGCTACTTTACCAGTGGATTACACAGGAGAAACCCTGCCTCCAAATAAACCTAGTATGTCTGAGTTTATAAATTTGAGAACTTTGTAACTAAGTATTTTGTTTCTTTACTTTTCTCTTACTTCCTTTTGTTTCTTTATGTTATTTAACCAACCTCAAGCAACTTGCAATCTTCTACCCTCAGCCCACATTTCTGAGACAGAAGAGAAAATTTTGGAGAAGATGCATAGAAGATAGAAACTACTAATTTTTTAAAAAGGAATTAACAGAAATTGTGGCTTTTCCTCAGCCCTCGCTTTGTCTGTGAAGGTTGTAGCTGAAAGACACCGTGTTGAACACAAAGCAGGCTCTGGCTTGTTCTGCTACTTAATTATGGTAGTTCTCTTTGTCAAGTAAATAAACAAAACACAAACACAAACAATCCCCAAGAGAAAACAGCTCTTTTTTTAACATAAGCTTCCAAAATTACTTCAGCTTGATTTTCTCTCATTCATTGCTGACTTCCTCTATACTTCCTTACTCTGAAAGTATTGAAGCTGAACTAATACACTCAAGCATATGCAAGATGAAGGAATAAGAGAAAGGAGAGGATGTGTTACCAACAAAACCTATTTGAAAAGGGAATCCTGTGAGCTATTAGTTTTCCCACTATGTCTGCTAATGCTTTCTCATAGATTGTCTCTGGAGAAATGAATCATCTCCTGTCCTGAAGAGCTCAGATAAGCATTATTTTTTTAATTTCCTTTTTTCTTTAATGTTTTCATTGCTAATGCATGTCACTTAGGGCTTTTTATCTATAAAAAAATTGCAAGAACAATTGCATTGCCTGGTCTATCAAACCCTGCCCCCCCCAAAATCACGGTGTTTTTTATGCAGCCTGTGAACAACATGAATGGCAAAGATTTTTTTTGTCCAACACTACCAAATGTTAAATGGAAAAAAAATAGCATATGCTGATGGAGGCTACTATTGATATAACTTTTAAGTTACTTAATAAAATTGTATGTTGCTTTTCGTCATCTTTATTAAGCTGTGCAACTTCAGTTGCAGTGCTGGAGACTTTTCCTTACAGAATACTCAGAGCTTTCAGTGCTGGTAATAATTATTTCTCTGAACTCAAATACCTTTTATTCCATCTCTTATTCCTCCTCTATTAATAACTCAACTAAAAATTACTCAGTATTACATTATTCTTTCATCTTTGAAAAGAAACAGAAGGAGGATGTAATTAATACAAGGTTAGAACTGTAGGGAGAGGATGGACAGGAATCACATCTTCAGTACTTCTTCCAAGACAAGATCATGACTGCACTGAATGAAGACAGCTTTGAAAAGACTGGTGAAGACAAACACTAGTGGTGTTTCAGACAGTGTTTAGGAAACTTCTGGCACAAATGGACTGGTGAGCATAAGATGTGCCAGCATAGATCATAATCACTCAAGGGATACATGTGTCATACGCCTGTAGGGATGCCATAATCCAATTGAAAGAGCTGTGTTTGAGGATTGATCCTTGAATCCCTTGCCTTAGTTTAGTCATTTTCTTCACAGTTTTGTATAATTCAAAGATACTGCAGAAGAGATTCAAGTTCACAGATGCTTACAATCAAAACTTAAAACATGACTTAGTCTGAGAAGTCTGCAGTTAAGAGGAGTGTGTGGTGGGTAGGGAATAAAGGTCACTGATACGTATGTTTGTACAAATCAAGCAAGTATAAGTTTGTTGATGTTGTTTACTTTTTTTTATGTGGTTAAAGCCTTTTCCCCCTTTGAATGCAAAGTGTTTAATGAATGGACATATAAAGATGCCTTACTGTAGGCAAGCTTGCTATGCCATTAGCTGCACTTACCATTCTCAGAAAATATGCATATTTCTCTTGTTTTTATTACTCTGGCTTCCTAAAAAAAATGTGGAACTCTTACAGATAGACAATGCATGTTCTGCTTACCTGTCCACAGATTCTCAGCCTCAGGTCAGTCAGACAGAGGTAACTCTACAATTTTGACACTGTTTGTTATATGTATGTTATTATATGGAATTGTGATACCTGAGTTCCTGTTTTCTTTGCATTAGGTGTCCACTACACTGGAAGAACTTTGTTTTTTGGTCATGGGATTTCTCCAGAAACCACAGGTAACACACACAAAAGACTGCTTGGCATTTTTGAAGCCTGATCTCTCACTGTGCCATTGTCTATAACGAATTCTGAAGACCCAGTATGCAAAGTGTCATTCAGCACTGGAAGTACTTCTATCAGTTTTTACTCTAAAATGCCATCTGCCAGAATGTAACACTTTGTAAAGACAACAGGGACACATCAGTTTTTGGAAAATTTTCTCCAGTCTGGGTACAAAGTGTTAGGTGTTTTTATTTCTTCAGATTAGAAAAACTATGAGTTCTCAAGAGACAAATAAATTTACTTAGGAGAGTCTGGGGATGAATAAGGGCACATCTGCTAAACACATCTAACTCTTCTAGGGCAGAGTAATCAATATACTCTATAGAGTTTGAAATGATTAGTTAGATTGATAAGCAAAGACATATATCTGCCAAGGAAGAAGGATATTTTAGCCCAGTGCTGAAATGATTATGTATGTAATCAAAATTATCCATTGTTCTTTTTATTTTAATGAATAAAAGTCTTTCTACCAACTATTATTCCCACAGGGTTTAGATGAGAAAGCCAACACCAAAAGGGTAAGATGTCTATATATGTCCTATAATCACACTAAAAAAAGGCAAGAAAATCATAAAACTCTTGCCCTGTTCTGTAGTAAAACCCCACTTTTAATTCTTTCAAACAGTTTTTATTTCATTATTCTAAGACTCATGACTCGGGAAACTCAGACATCATGGTAAGTGGCATAGCACCTCCTTATGAGTGAGTACACGTGTACTTGTATATAAAACCAAGGCAATATTCCTTTCTGCAGTAGTCTCTCCAACTGTATAGTAAACTCAGGACTGGGAGCTGCATGTTTACAGTACAGAAGGTGTTTTAATAATATGGGGGAGGATGATCAGTGTTGTACAGGTGTACAGGAAAAAAAAATCTAACAAACTCAACCAAACATTCATGGAATCCCAACTGAATCTTTATCTTGCAGTTTCAAATTTTAAAAATGAGATAAAATACTCTTTTTGGGTATTGGAACATAGCACATGCAGTGAAACAATGTGGACTTACAGGACCTGAGAACAGGACCATAACTATTAGATACACTTGAGGCATTTCTATTGATTATTAATTAAACTGTATTAATTCATTTGCACATTTCATAAATATGTAGCAGGCAAAATAGTATTTAAGTCTCACTTGGACTTTGGATTATATTTTGAATGAAAAGTATTGTTTAAACCATGGCTAAGAACTGTTGCTTTAGAAATATTCTCATAAACCAACAAGCCAAGTATGTGATCTCACTTTTGAAGTGCAAACATCCTCTGTTATCCTTGTGTATCTATGCACCATAGAGTTTTGAGAGAGTTAAACATATTCATATTTTCTTACATGCCAGTGTCCATTTTTGCCTTGTTCTTTACATTTCTCCAGAAATATGTGGTGTGTTTCCTAGAAGGTGATATTGCTCATATTGGTGTCAATGTTTTCATGCTACAGCTGCTTTGGAGGCTTTAATGGTAATTAAGGCACAGTGAAATGAGCTATTTCTGCTGCTGCTCCTGCTTAAAAGATTACTGCATCCCACTGTACCACCATCCTGAATACCTTTGCTGCTGCACCCAGAGATTACTACTTCCTCACTTCTTTTAGCTGTTTAGCTATTTTTATTGTCATTGCTCAGATAACAATTTTCTAGCCATTCTCAGAGATACTAATTTAGGTGAGATCCATCATTCCTTGGCTTTATAAGCTCACTGCACTGGCTGTTAAGACAGAGCCCAGGTGGATCATCCCAAGCTGGGATGTTCATTAACTGCTTCAATCACATCAGACTCCTTCTTTTTTAGGTATTATGATCCCATATTGCCTACCTTAGGCAGATAGCAAAAAATTTGCTACAAATAAGCAAGTTCTTTTTATCTAAGAAGTACAATACCACTTTGGTACTCTGGTTACTCCATACATCACAATTCTCTTATTTGCATTACTTCTCTAAGTAGCAAAAACTAATTGTTTTTTAAATTACATTTATATGAGTTGAAGGTTTAAATTGGTTAATGGAACACAGGTTTTTTTATACTTTATTTCTTCCTGTGGACCTCTATCCAAAGTTCCACATAGTTGTGTTTTCCCACGGTGAGCACTTAGGCTGCACACAATGCCACTGTGCATAATTAAGCTGTCTGCAAAAGTCTTGTTGAACTCAAAGAATTTCATGATCAGAGCTTAGATAGAGTGACCAATGCTATGGTTAAAAATATCCCTTGAGAATGGATTTCTACTGTACACTGCTCTTTACCAAAAAATCCAATTTTTTTGTTGCTATTTATTTTCAAGTAAAATGAAATTTTAAGTACAACAAATGTTGAAGCTGCTAACTTCCATAGTAGAAAATTGTTAAGATGTGTTAGTAGGAACAGTGTACAGAAATATTCTTGGTACCACTCCTAGAGACTGATCAAAGTTTGACTAATTCCAGGAGTCTGTAAATGGTTTTGAACTTTCAGTTAGTAAAGGTGAGGATACATAGCATTTCTCACCATAGTTCTGACTAGTACAAATTTAAATGTTGATGCTTCTTTGTTGTCAAGTAAAAATGTTTAAAAAAATAAGTTTTTCAATTAAGAAGTTTCTCAGTCTTTAGTCCTTTTTTTGGTGCATGTTTGGACCACGAGCCAATACTGCAGAAAGAGACTTTTTTTCATCACAAGGGCCAAATTCCACTTTTGCTCATGTGTGTGTGTTCGTGTCCTCTCAGTCGTCTGTCCTGCATCCTTTACTGCAACTCGTTCCTCAGCTTAATGAGAGAAGACTGAAGAGATACAAACTGGACGTATGTAAACTTAAACTCTGCATGCTTATGTTCTCACACTTTGTGATTCATTAGCTTTTCTAAAAATGCCCTTGTAGACCTTTCTGCTTATATATTTTGGTTGGACTACCCAAATCTCAATGTCACAGAATGTGCTTCAGGAAGGGTTATCTTGCTGCTGATCTTTTTTCTTCGTCATATTGGGAAGAAAACCAGAACCTGCTATACATAAACACATCCACCTCTCTTCCTGACCAGATAAGGAATTGAAAATGGGCAAAGGAGGAAATATGCTCTATTAAATTCATTATTTCTCCCCAGTTTTAAACACCAGATTTTTCCACAGCTTTGATTCCTCTTGAGCTACAGCCTGATAGGATATGATCTAAGAAAGAAGGCTCAAGCATTTTCTTGGCTAGTCAATATAAGAGACTGAGCAAAATACCTTCTAGAGGGCAGGCATTAAAATAAACAAACAAACAAACAAACAAATAAATGTAATAAAACTCTAAGTAATCATACATCTCCAGGAATACACATTTTTCTGTGTACATACATATATACATGCAGATTTGTGAATAAGCTTGCATATTTATCATGGTAGGTTTTTGTTTGTTTTGGGTTTTTTTAGCATCTCCAAAGCCTTTGAAGTTTAGAAGGCGAGTGTTAAAAAAATAACAGATTCTTAGCTTCAGACATTTTCTAATACCAAACTTCTGACACTAACTCAAACAATAATATGTAATCTTTAAGAAGTGTCTGGTTGTAAGAGGAAAATGACATTAAAAGAAATCAAAATTTCTCACCAGTAGTTGTACTCTTGATTATTTTTCTGTTCTGAATGAATTTCTTAATCATGCAACAGCTGCTTATTTTGTTCTTGTTTTCAGTTTTGTTCGCACATTGAATAGAAAAAGTTGAAAAAATTACATATGAATACCATAAGACTCAAATGGCAATGTAGAAAAAAATTTTTACCCTTTTGAAGTATAAAAAATTATAGTAGTGATCAGACTATAAATCCAAGATGGGTGTTTCAAATGCAGATAATGCTAGAATGGGAAGAATAATAGAAATAAAAATCATACAGATGTTTTACATACAGCAAGAAACGGAATATAATGCTATATGTGGTGAACTGAAGTCAGAACTAAAATCGAGACTCAAAAATTATGTGTGGTTTAAACTCTACTTCCTTTGAAAGCTTCCCTGGGTTACATCTACCTCTCTAGTTTAGAAATTATGGGAGTCATCTTGTTTGACACAATTCTCACAGCATTAGAATAGAGCATGGCGTGATTCCTTTCTATGACACTTCACCTTATCATATTTACCCAAGAGATCACAGTACCCCTGTTTTTAGTTGAGAAATACCTTCATTGCTAAATAAAAGCCATCTTCATTTTATGTTCTGGTAAGCATAACACTGAGACTATTCTGTTTCTCAAATTTACTGTCTCCCCACCTGCAGGACAGACACATCACTCCTATCTTATCCCAGCAGAAGCAAATAAAACACTGTGATTAACCATATGTGTTCTCTAATCATGAAGATCTCATTAAAGCAACTGGATACTTCATGCTTTGTACTTGTTACATTTAAATGGAATTTCTATTTTCTTCATTATTTGTTACCCTCCTTGCTATATGAATCACCAGGCAGCTGTTTCACCCTGTGTGCAGCACGGACTATCATAAGCACTGCTCTTTGGGAGTTAATGTGAGACGGGGGGTTATGGTACATCTTTGGGAACAGTCTGGGGTCTCAGTTCTGGGAGTATTCAAGTAGTTCTGATATTTATACTTTGTATTTTTGCCCTCCTGCAAGATGCAAGAAACCAACTCTATCTGCAGAGATGAAGTCACTCTTGTGCCTGGGTAATGAGGCCTGGAAAATCAGAGGCAAAGACTATTCATCATTTTTAGTACCATTCAAAAGCAATCTCAGCTGATCTAAAACTTTAGGCGGAATTTGGCTCCATTCATATGTTCTCTGCTATTTCTACATGACAACATAAACTTTGCCTTGCTGACATGGAGAAATGCATATAAAGCATTTAAGGAGTAAGACTGTATGTAGTATTGAAGAATTCTTTTTTATATATACATAAACAACCTCTTTGTATGTATTAATTTTCAGCTGTAGATATAATTTAAAATATTTTTTTTTTTAGGAAGAACTTCAAGGACCAGGAATGATTCAAAGCAGAGGCTATTTTTTCTACAGGGTATGGTTTGTTTGATTTTTTCTTTTTGTTTTGTGGTGAGAGTTACCAATAAAAAAGAAAAAAAAAAAAGTAGAGAAATAACTGATTTACAGAAAGAATTACTGTGATTGAAGATACTTTTTTCAGTATGAGCATTCCACCCTAGAGAGGAATGTTCCCAGGTCTGCTCCTGACACTTCCTTGTATTAAAATAAAGGCATTGTAGGATTTTTTTTTAAATCATATTCCTAGATTTGTGTATATATGATACCATTCAATGTCTTAAGAAGTCATTGGTCATTTTGTATCTATTTGTCTGAAAAAGTTCTAGAAAATACGACATCCTGGAAAATCCTCATAAAGCATTGTTCAACAGGGTCTGTTTGCACATGATATAAACATGATTCCATGCTTACACACTGTGCTAGGTCTGACCTTGCCATTTTCCTTCTGTTTTGACCACTAAGGTAAGAAACTAGATAAAGGAATTCTCATGAGACTGAATCTACTGTGTTCAGCTTTTATGACATAGAGCCTTTTTACTTCACTTTAACAAAATTGAGAAGGTGGCAAGTCAGACATTTGAATAGTTCTCTCGATTTTGGTTAGTATTGCTACTAAAACAAGAAAGTGGCTAATGATTTTAAATAAAAATGTGTCTAATGTTGTAGTCCATGGTCTTGAAGGTGTTTCTGCAACCTAAATTATTCTATAATTCTAATGAAAAGACCACAGATTTGTACAGCTACGTTTTTTATGAATCAGGCTTGCATTCTTAGAGTTGTTATGACAGACCAAAGTTATGGGTAATATTAACATTGGTGTATTCATGCTTCCAGAGTAAAGACAAATCCTTATTATGCCCAGGAAGAAATTTTTTATCGTCTTTAGTAGAAGTTGTTTCAAGATCCTCGCTAGTGCAAAATACTTCTGAAAAAACACCACAGTGAAAAGGGAGAAAGTCCTTGTCTACATCAAAGAATACAGTCTAAATAGAAAATCATTGAGAATGACATGTATTTGTTTGTTAATAGCAACAAACACTTATAATGCAAGAATAACAATCAGAAAGCGCATTTTAAGAAAATGCATAAAGAATAAGGATTAACAACCTCTTGAGGTGACTTCTTACTGCTTTCTCCCCCTTATAAAATCATACAAGACAGACAATTCATTGTTCAATCGATATGCAGTAAATTTTAGTGTATAATTCTCCTCCAGAAGTAGATATAGATGAAACAATAACTTATCTTAGGTCTATTTTTGATAATAATCACAATGGCACTACTGAGAAATTTACCAATTTCTATACACACAAAGTTGTTTGGGGCATTGTTACTAAATTCTGTCAGTTTTATAGAATATATAACCTATTGAATATTTGTCTTTCAGCCACGTAATGGAAGGAGATCAGTGGATTTTCGCTAAGGAGGTATTTATTTAATGCTTTTAATCATGATATACACGTAAATTAGTTAATTTTTATCCAAATAGACCATGATATTTTTGATGAGAAGTTGTCTCAGTAAGCCTTTAACTGTGTAATCAACTTAGATTTCCACTCACAAACTTCTTCCAGATGTGTTAAATACACTTATCTTCAGATGAAGTGAACAGAAGCTGTAGGTGTTCAGTCCACAGAACAGAGAGCACATAGGTATTTCAGGCAGCAAGAAATGGAAAATATGCCATGTTTATAAACAATTTGGAAAGTATTGATGATGATAAGTAAATCTAAGAAAGAACTGAGTCAACTACCTGTCAGATGAATTCTGAGAAGTAAACTGATATCCTGAAGGGAATTCCCTAATTTTATGAAGATAAAAACCTCACACTGAAACCAAGTGCAAACTTCAGGATTTAATTTCAGTACCTGGAGCAATTTGGAGAAATGTCAAAATGTATACCAATACTATAATGCTCTATTTTCTCATGTATTTTATACTGCCATAATTTTTAAGTGTTATATCCAACTTAGTGTTGAATCAACAGCTAATGCTCTATCTTATTTTTCAGGATTATAGATTCCTGATCTAGAACTAAAACTGCAGGAATGCAGAGTACATGAACATACTATTTTCCTTACAATAATTATTCATTATTAATGTACAATTAGAAATCACTCAAATGTAAATATTCTTAAACCAGATTCTGTTAAGAAGGTCTTTACTATCTTGATTATATTAAAAGCATATTAAAATTATTTGCTTCCTAGTGTTATGGTGTTTACAACCAACCACATGTAATTCAACTGTAAAAGAGTCAGTGTTTGCATGCAACAGACATTGACTCTAACAACCTTGTTAAGCAAATTTTCCCTTCTAAATAAAGGCCCTCTGCCAGAGAGTTGTTTTAATGAGAATGTTTGCAATCAAGACTACTGTGTTTTTTCCAGAATACATTGTGATTTGTGTTTTTCACCATCTGGGAAAAAAAAAAAAGAAAAATATGAGAAGCCCTTTTCCCTTAATAAAAGGAACCTGAACAAGTTACAGGTTTTGAAGAAATATCGTGACTTTAATTCAACTAAAATATAATGGCATCCTTTCTTAGCTATTAAGAACACCTATGTACTATGGTTCTCATTTAGAAAAAGATTTAATTGCAAGTGGGATCACAATTCACTTGAAAACTCAAGTGCTTTTGATGGAAACTGAAAGAAGCTGTACTCAGAAACACAAGTTAAGCACAAGTTAGCCTTACAATCTTCCCACCTTCTCTCTACAAGTTTAATTTCACGCCAAAATTGTGATAAATTATGTTGTTGAGGTTGTAATTATATTGAAAGTAACTAATTACTCAGAACTAGATGATCTTTAAGTCCCTTTGAATCCAAACCATTCTGTGCTTCTATGATTCAGTTTAGACGTGGGCTAAAGTTTTTAACACTGTATTGGCTTGTCATGGTTTGAATTGACCTCAGCATTACTATTCCTGCTTCTGCACTTTTGGATGAGCAATGAAACTTTGAAAGGTAGCTGGAAAAATTACAGCCTCAGAGGAAGCCAAATTGAGAAGACCTTTTCCTCTTCTTGCCCACTTGTTTTTACTCTGCCTTTTAATAATTAACATTTCTTATAACAAGATTTGTTACTATTTATGGTTTAATTTTAATTATTTTTCATTTAGTTATTTTAAAAAGGATTCTTTAAAAAGAATTAAACATACAGTGCAGACAGTCACAAGCAGTATGACATCTAACATGTACAGATAACTAACTTACATAATTCCATAAAGGAGCCTGTCAGTGTAAGGAGGATTACCATTCTGAATTATTGGCAGCAATCCACTCCTGTAGTCTGTATTTTCCTGTATAGTTATAATTAAATAAAGTTCTTTTTTTTTTTTTTCCTCTCTCTTACCCAGAGTTATGGCAAAGTTAACTAATTACTGAAATAAATACATATTTTTCTTCTATTAGTTCCACATCTGCCTATTACTTTTCATACATTCAAAATATTTGGTGACTGTGGAGAACAAAAGGTGGATTGCTTTTGTTTGTTTGTTTATCTATTTTGGTTTGGGCTTCTAGTAAAACCATATGAATGAATGAATCTTGAAGAAGTAAAGGAAGCTGAAGATGGCTTTGATGAGACTGATAGGAAAGCTATTGGTATGTACAGGTATAGTGAGATACCTATCCAGATTAGCAGTGCACATCACTATTGTACACATTCCTAAAAAATAAACAGCATCTTTTGAATAGTAATGTCTGCTGACTGACACAACTGCCTTTTTCCACTTTCTATTCTTTTGATGTCAGATAGAACCCACATTACTGTCCTATTTCTTCCTGCCAGTGGCACAGAGAAAGAGTTTACACCATATTTTGCTAACATGTTCTGTTAGAACAAAATTATTTACTCTGAAAGCTGGATATTTTTTAAAAAGTGCTGAACAGGCCACAGTGGAAACCACTGTTATACATCCTCAGTTGAGCTGAAGATACATTGGGCCACAGTGTGTTTGGAGGTGTACTAAGTTTGAAGTGTTATGGTCTCAACATTTATCCAAATTACACAAGTAGGGCTCATCCTCTGCCTGATTAAAGAGTGCCCCTCAGTCTGCCACACCAAAGACAACTCTGCCACACTAAAGACACTTTCTGCTAGTCTTTAGGACTTTGTGCAATGATGATAAATATTCAAAGAAAGAAGTTCTGAATTCCATTTTCTCTCTTCTGTTTTGGATAGAGTTTTCTGTGCAGTTCAAGACAAAAAGAATGGACAATTGGCTGTGGGAATCCCTTTTCTTTCATGTGCACAAGAAAAATAGGAAAAACAAGATCTCATCATACATGGCTCCACTTTTCTGATAATGTTTTGCATATGGGGTGCATGCCACCTATATGAGGATGGCATGCCATTAAAGAAGAAAACTGTATTTTAGTGGGTCATCAGGTCCAACACCCCTGCTCCAGCAGGGGTCATTCCAGAGCACATGGCACAGGACTGCATCCACACAGTTCTTGACTATCTCCAGTGAGGGAGACTCCACGTCTCTGGACAGCCTGTTCCAGTGCACGGCCATCCAAACAGTAAAGAAGTTCTTCCTCATATTCAAGTATAACTTCCTGTGCACCAGTTTCTGCCCATGGTCTCTTCTGCTATTGCTTGGCACCCCTGAAAAGAACTTGACTTGGCTCCATCCTCTGACAACATCCCTGCAGATACTTACAGACATTGATGAGGTCCTGTCAACAGGTCCCCTCTGTTTTCTCCTCTTGAGGCTGAACAGGCCCATTCCCTCAGCCTTTCCTCATAAAAGGAAAAGATGCTCCAGTCAATAAACTAGTGTGGTTTTAAAAGCCAGCTGTGGATCCCTAATAAACAGCTATTGTGTTTGGTTTGCCTTTTACTCAAGGTAGATTTTAATGGCTTTTCTATTTCTTACTTCAGGAAAATGTTCATTTGAAGTTTACATTGAAGGAAGGCACAGGGGAGACCAAATCAATGTCTACAGATACCTGAATGAAGGTTATAAAGCAAACGGGGCCAAGGTGTTTCCATTGGTCCCTGTGACAGGACCAGAGAACATGGGCACAAACTGAAACATTGGAGGTTCCCTCTGAATATCAGGAAACACTTCTTTACTGTGAGGGTGACCAACTGAAACATTGCATGGTCTTCGTCCTTGGTGATGCTCAGAAGTTGTCTGGACATGGCTCTGGACAGCCTGCCTCGGGCTGGTGCTATCTGAGCTGGGGTTGAATCAGGTGACCTCCCTTCCAAGCCCAGCCATGGTGCAATTCTGGAATTCTGTGACACACAGTGCACTGTTCTTAGGCATAACCGTAACACAATCAACCTTATTCAACTATTTATTGTAACTAAGGAAAATGAGGCATGAAGTTTACACAAAATAAAAAAGCTAATGTGATCAAAACATTCCTTCTGTCTAGATTCTACCTGTATTTATTGCTGTTGTTATTGTTAAAATGACTAAAATAATTCTAGGACTAACACAGTGTATCTAGTAATGCGCTCTCAGAGAAAGAAAAGAATTCACATAAATATGTGGAAGTTGTGAACCAAAACTATCATGTATTGTTGCTAGAGTGTAATAATATTGTAAATTTTTTTGTGTGATTATTTTTGGTTTTTTTTTCTGAATTTCACAGTCGTTTCAGCTAGTGTAACAAATAGCTGCTTTTAGTTCAACAAATTTCAGTAAAGCATTTTCCTTTTCTATCTTGCAAGTATTTTTATAGATGGAGACTGCCATCTACTGATTTTACATTTCAGTTTTCATTATTTTAAAACTGTCTGGTAAATACTAGTGTAAGTACTGTAATTCCTCCCCAAACTAATCTCATATTCAGAATCATGCAAATATTTAGTACCTGCTCTAATGTTTTCCTGCTTCATCTCAAATGATAAACGCTTGTACAATTTGTTTGTTACTCTAGTTTCCCAAATTCGGTACTGATGAATTAAGAAAATTAATTTTAATATTATATTATTGAATGAAGATTGGCATAGAAGCCTTTCTAGCTCAAAAATTTTAAGACTGCAAGCTCAAGAGTTACTCAAATAATTTAAGTAATTAAGATGCACTAGACATAATTTTAAAATGCATACAAAAGGTTCCAAAGGTGCTTATTATTATTTTTACTTTTGAATTTGGCAGCAACACTTGCAGGAATGGAAATGTCTTCAGAGGAGGGAAAAAATATGTGAAGCTAAGAGAAAGTTGTGGAAAGCAGTATGCAAATGAAGTTTACAAATGCTCCAAAGGACATTTGGGTTATAATTCATCTTTATTAGTCAAGACAATTACATTCTTTCAGAAGATGTAGAATACTTCAATATATAGAATTGCACTGGTAATTAAAAAAAAATCTAGAAAAATTAAATACAAGAGACTAATGAAACAGGAAATTTTTGGAAGGAGTGGATTCATAGGGCATCTGACCTGCTAGATTTGTTAATTCATTTTGTGAGAGCTAATCGTTCACTTTTGTTCAAATGCACGAAAGATTTATTTTGCTGTGCATGCTTATCAGCATGTATGTAACCTTACTGAGATCTCTGAGTTTCACTAAGAAGCTGATGTCCTCTTGTTCACAGTTTCTTTTCTCGGTGGGAGTAGTCTAACAGGATTATTCTACCTTTATTTCCCCTTTGACTTGGACAAATCAAAAGCCCATCAGGAAAAGTTTCAGTTATGCAAACCAAGGAAAGCTGGGGGACTTGTTAATTTATTGATTGCTCTGTAAATTCTCTAATGGTAGCAGAAGTTGTGACAGGGTGCAGCAGAAATGTCAAAGGACTCCCATGATTACTTCTGTGTATGTTAGCAACTCTATTAGATGTTTCTGAAAAGCACTGAGAATTAGTACAGAATGTTTAATAATTTTTTAGATTTAGACCGGTTTTCTCTTTTCCTTCTAAGTTTTTTGGGAGGGAGTTTATTCTTAATTGTCAGGAATCAAATATTTTTCCAAGAGCAAAAGGAATAGGACAACCAAATAAAATGGATAGAATTATAGTAATTTAAATTTTAAGATCTGAAGAAAGAAAATAGTGGCCTTTGATTTTCATTTGATTTCTATAATGAAGACCCAATTCTACAATTTACCATTGCATAAATAAGAACCTCTGAGGAATCTTGTAAACTCTCAGGAATGAGTATGAGTATCCCCAAAGTCTCTCATCCCTTTTAACAAAACTGGCTCAACCTGCCTTTGGCCTCTAAGACCCCCAGCTGACTTAACTTCAGTCAGGTACAAGAGATCCTAATTGCTCAAAGATTAATGGACTGGAGTGGAACAAGAAAAACCCTGGTGCTTTTGGTGTTTTCTGTGTCTGGGTATTTTTCATTGGTTGGTTGGGTTTTATATAGTGATTGTATTTTAAATAGTAACTATGAAAATAATGAACATGGTAAGGCATGGTGAAAATAAAAATATACAAAGGTTTCCCTGATGTTGCTTACAGAATGGTGAAGTATTTAAATGTTAAACTGAAATCTAGTTTAAATAAATTAAAGTAAAATGTATGTTACAGATTAAAAAATCTCATTTAAACTCTACAATGGACAAAATCAGCATTAAAAACTCAAGTGAAGAATGAGGCACAGTGCTTGAAGTGTCTAGTAGCTTTACTAAAATATTTTGTAGGCTGTGCCTCATATGCATTTTACTTCAACAGCTCTTTAAATCACAATGATCTTGGAAGAAGCTAATTAAAATTTGTCCTGAAATTCTTATAACAAATTAAAGTAGAAGCAGACCATTCAAATGTAGTCTTCTTTAAACCTTTTAATAACTTCAGTTATTTTAAAAATAATTTACACCAGAAGTGTCACTATATTTCCTTATTCTTTTCTAGTATCTCAATGTGTTTGCTGGTTAATGAACACCTCAACCTGAAGGTCTGAAAGTTTCCAGAAGGCAAGTTTCTCAAAGCCATTGTAAACTGCTGCATTCAGAATTACCAGGACAAGTATTTATGTTTATAAATATACTTATAAATTAAATATGTTTACCCACAATACTTGTATATAAACTGGTGAAATACAAGGCAGGTTCATCGGAATAGCTAAACATGGGGGAATAGATCTGAAACAAGAAGGTACTAGAAATGTTTCTAAATAATTCACATTATGGAAAATGTTTGTAATCATTAGATCTAAAGGCCACTTCTTAAAGGTTGAAAAGGTATTTTATTATTTTTGAAGGGAAAAAAAGATCTGAAAAAAGCAAAGAATTTGTATAGAATTTATGTAATTCTATGGTAAGAATATTACCAAAGCACAGGTATTTTGCAATTTCATGGTTAGATATTTTTCTGAGCTAAAGTTGAGTTGGCTCTAATTTTTGTTGTTGGGATGTATCTTGGTCTTTATTAAAAGTCAGTTCCTTTTTCTCTTGTGAGAATTTATTGCAATATTAGAATAAATTGTTACTTGTTATTACAGCAGAAGTTGGACAGTACAAAAACCAGTTATGTGATAAAAACATGTATTGCTTGAAAAAAATTTAATTAAGATCACGTGTTCTGACATAAATTAGTTCAAACATGGTTTTCTACTCCTTTGGTAAGCCTATTGGTAGATACTCACTGGCAGATATAACTGCTGGAAGCTTTTATTTTGCAGATTCAAAGGGATAACTAGTAGATGCATTTCAGAGACAATGCCTTATCTGTCGTTACCTGCCACTTCAAACTAGAACACTAACTAGTAGTTTCAAATGTAAATAGGTCATCAGGGACTTTAGATACGATTGCACAGTCCCTTCAAGTATCAAAGCTGGCTGCTATAAAAGTAGCATTGCTTCCTCTCAGCAGCGAGCCTCCCTCCCACTACAGTGGCTGCTGCAAGGGACACAGGCAGTCTGTGACAGTGGAAGCAGATGTGATGGGAAAAGAGCCAAACCTCCCCTTTGGTGACCCTGTCTTTGTCCAAGCCAAGTGACCACACAGTTGTAATTAAAGCCATCAGATGTGACAAAGCAGCAGCAGCAAAATCCAAGGTAATCTGTAGGTTAGAACCAGATGTTTCTGGTGCTGGGTCAGTTACACGGTTAGGAAGAAAAGGCTCCAGGAATGTTAGCCAACCTTGCTTTACAAGGATTATGCGGATTGTGACAGGCTTTCAAGTCAACATCCACTCATTTTAGTATTCTAGAGTGATGTGAAATTTGGTTTCAAAACCAGTTTCCTCAAACAGATCCTCAACAGGCCAGCATGGATCAAAAAGGAACACACTAAGCAGGTGGTCGTTCTGTGGCTCTCAAGAACGTCACGCACGATGGCGATGGCATTTCTCTAGGAAACATGGCTATAGTTAATGGAAGTGCACTGGAAATTTCTGCATTTCCGGCCCAATGTGGTCCTATCATTAACCAATTCACAAAATATCTGCTGCTCCTAATTTGGCATTGTTCAAAAGTTATGTTGGCTCTCACAAAGCCTATGTTGAGTCAATCAGAACTGTCAATACACAGCAAAGTCACACTGATGACAAGAGCAGAGCAATAGTATTTTTAGGAGAATAGTTTCATAAAACCACCACACCATCTCTAAGCTGTCCTGTTCTTCCAGAATCCTACAAAATACTGCCAAAAGAGAAGTAGTATTAAAAATATGACCTCATTTTGGCCACAGCTTTGGCAGAAAATGCAAATGTATATCATCTCCACAGCTGTGTTGGTTGTTTTGATCTTATCAAAGAATAATTTGTTACTGCAACATTGCAGTAAGTACTTGTTATGCTCCTATTTGTGCATGGTGTGAAGAGATAGTGCAGCATCCGTATGTTTTCTGAAGAATTATCACTGGTTACTAAAGATCTTCTGGCAAATTTGATAGACACAGCCTGACGTTATTTGTAGCCTCCTGGTTTCTTTGCCATATTCTGGCTCTGATAATTACGCATTTTTGTTGAAAATATTCCTGCATTTTCTCCTGGATGTTCCATTCCTGCTGTACCCTATTATCTCTTCTACATTTCATCATAAGAGCGCTATCCTTTGTGAGAGTAATCAATATTAGTTTTCCTTATGTCACATTCTCCACCCCTGAAAGCTAGGATTTGAGTATTATGAATCAGTAACAAAAATAAGTGTTTTTACAAATGCTTTTCAGAGTTCTTCCAGTGGAAAAGCTCATGGCTAGCTCTTTGGGAGCATTAGTGGTAAAGAGCCCCCTGTCCCCTACAGTATCTTTGCATAAAACTTTGGTCACAATTGTGAATCAAATGGAGAAACAGAACTGCTTAAAAAGTAACCCAGAAAGGAAATCCATGACAATTTGCAGTCAAGTTCTTTACTTCGTTCTAGACAAAAACACGAATTAAACTGCTACAAATACTTTAAGATACGTTGCTATTCAGGTATCAACTGAAAAATAAAATCCTTTTAACTGAGAGAAAAAATTGGGATGACTTACACAATATTACTCCTAAGCGTTTTATTTTACATTAAACGGTTTGCCGCAATCTTTTGCTGCAGCATAACAGGTTTATGTTTAAATAGTCGCCGCATATTTATCAGCTAGTATTAAAAGCCTCGGACACACGAAAGGGTTGAGGCAAACACCTCTGGTTTCTGCTGTTCTGGAAATTTCACAGGTTTATACACAGGAAAGAAGAAACCACAGACCTCCACTGGAACGGGTTCGTTGAATCCCTAAATACCTCGGGATGCATTACCCGGAGAGGACCCGGGATATCACTTGTTCCGCTTTGGGAATGCGCGGGTGACCGCGTTCTGTGCCGGGTTCATTATGCCGGTGGGGAAGCGCCTCAGTTCAGCGGAGCCTCTTCTACAGGCTCTTCCGTGAGCTCGGCTGGGGGCTGTGCGCCTGGAGCCCGGTGTCCGCTCTCCCTCCCGGCGGCCCCGGCGGCTCCGCGCCGCCGCCATTTCCTGCGGCCGCGGGGTGAGGTGAGGCGAGGTGAGCTGGGGTCAGGGAGGCGCGCGCCCACCGCGCCTGCGCGGGACACGCGCCCTCCCCCGCCCCCCCGCGCACGCGTGGCGAGGCGCGCGCGGAGAGTGGGGAATCACCTCCCCGGTGCGCCGTTCCTGCGCACGCGCGCCGGCGGCGGCGGCCCCGGGGTGCCGCGGGTTGCAGTGCGCGCCGGCGCACGCGCGGTGGCGCGAGGCGCCGCGGCGGCCGGCGGCGGTGGGGGCTCGGCGGCGCAGGCGCGGTGGAGTCGGGGGGACTCCCGGGCCCGGGTGCTGCTGTGCCGCCGCCGGAGGAGCAGGAGCGGGAGGAGGTTCAGTCAGGCAGTGCCGGCGGGCGGCGGGCGCGGGGCTGCGCGCGGCGAGCGACGCTCGCCGGGGCAACGCAGGCGGGCAGCGGCAGCGCGGGGCCAGGTGAGCAGCGAGCGCGGCGCGGGGCGGTGCGGGCGGACCCGCCGGGCCCCGGTGTGCGGTGGCGAGGGGAAGGCGGGGGCACGGCGCGGAGGGGAGCGGTGGAAGTTTGACAGCGCCGGCGTGTCTCCCGCTCTGAACCGGGGGGCGGGAGTGTGGCGGCTGCCCTTGGGCGGGCACGGCCGCGGCCGGGGGCGGGGGGCGCTCGCGGGGCGCCCGCTAGGCCCGGTGACCCACTTTGCTCCTGTCACAACTCCCGGGCGCGTCGGGAGCGCTGCCCGCCTGGCTTCGCGCCCGCGAACCGGGCAGGGCGGGCGCGGGACTCCCCGGCATCCGCGGGGCCGGGCCGCGCCGGACCGAGCCGAGCTGCGGGCGGCACCTCCGCCCGCCGCCGCTCCGTGGGGCAGCTCGTCCCGCGGGCTCTGGGGAGACGCGCCCGGCCCCGCCGGCCCACGCGCGGGGGAGGTTTCCGCGGCGGCCCTGCGGAGCGCGGGTGTTCGTACGGCGGGCGGGCGGCGGTCGGTGGCCGCTCGGCCCCGGGCCCTCCCCGCGGCGGGACAGTTCTGTGGGGCCTCGGGCTCCGGGCGGTGGCGAGAGCGTGCCCCGCTCTCCCTGCGGCAGGTGGGCTGGAGCTGCGGGGTTGCGTATGCGCTTCGTAGGCTTCTTTTTCCTCCCCCCCCACCTTTTTTTTTTTTTTTTTTTTTGTTTGTTTGTTTGTTTGTTTCCGATAACTTTATTGCGATAACTGCAGCATGCTCACTCGTTAAACCTGAGCTATCCTCAGTAGCCCCCGGTCCTTTTTCGAGTTACTGCGGCCTTAAAGTCTCTGTGTTAAATACTCCGTGCATACAGGTGTGAAATATGACCAACGAGGGACTGGAAATCCGTGGTACTTCCAATTTTATTTTTGGGTTAAGGTGGATCAGGATTTCTGGTTGGTTTCACTTTCAAATTCCAGCTGCTTTAGGCCTCGATATAAATTGGAAATGTTAGGTTTTTTCCCATGAGGAGGAGTGCTTGTGAACTAATCAGACATATTAGGAGTGAGATTTTTGTAAGGCCTTTGTTTTCATGTGCTGGTGAGAGTTAACCTACCAAGAGGCACAGGGAAGGTCAGGTATGGTTTGGGTGGAATATGAAACTCCATGTAGAGGCAGAGTGGCCGATCACAGAACCTGATCCTCTAATTCCTTAAAGTAGGTATTTTTTCTTAAATGACTTCTTAAATGACTGGTTGACAAGCAGTGCTTTCGGTGGCAGTATTGGCTGGACCTGGCCTGCCTCAGATCTGCAACAGCACAACGGTTTGTGGAATTGTGTCCTGTAACTAGCTTGAGGAAATGATCCAGGGTAAAATTAACTACCTTGGTTTTGTGTTTTTGTTTTTCCTTTTTAATGTGGTTATATTTAACCTATATAATTTCTCTGGCTAACAGGTGTGTCAGGAGGCAAGAGGATTGTTTAAACAAATACCCTAGTGAAAGAAGTACTTTAGAAATACACCTCGTCCGTGGTAGTCCTGGAAAAGTTCAGTATGAACAGTTGCAGTTGTTTCACAATATTCAGTTTTACAGAAACAATATTGACTTTGTTTATAAATATCTGTGGGGTTTGGGCCTGTTACTTGAAATTGGACAGTATTTGATTGTTGTAATAGAGGATTCTACTTGAAAGTAACTCTGTGATTTAATTTTTTTAAATTGAACTCTTAATTTTCATATATATCCACTTAAGACACTTCCTTAAACTCATTACAAACACTGCTTTCAGATTACCAGACATAATGTACATGGTTTAGGTTCTTTTTGTAGAATATGGCAATTTTGTCTGAGAATTTTGTTGGTAAGGCAAGGGTTACTGCTTCTTAACAAACAATTCAAACAGGGAAAAAACCCCCAAACTTCCGGGTTGATATTTAATAGTTTAAGGTGCCATTCAGCCATGTCTTGTTTTTTATTTCTTCCGCTTCACGTTCTTACATGGAAAAGTTTAACATGTTTAGGCAAAATAAAAGAACATGAGGAAAGCAGAGTGTTTTCATTACTAATGCTCTTCTACAGACCCCAAGACTTCTGCTGTAGCTCACTTTACTCTCTTTGTACTAAGCAATTTAAAACTGAGTGGTAATTACCTTAAATTTAATTTGTAGTGTTGGTTAATTAGCTTCTTAGTATAGAATTTCACAGAAGTCATGAATCTTCATGGTTGGATTGGTCTTGCAAAAGAAATTGTTGCTTTTAAGAGCTTTGTGCTTTTGCTTTTTTTCCCCTCGGTTAAATTTCTGCAAAAAGTTGAAGATATAAAATAGTAGTAGAGATATTGGCCCTACCTTCTCCACATGTTCTTTATATGAAATATTTTTATCAACTTGGAAAGTTAAGAATTTTTTATTATAAGCTAATAAACTTGTGTTGAAAATAGTTGTGAATCAAAAATGCAGTTTTCTTCACTAGGTAATTCCCTCATTTGAAAGCAGCTTCTTATTTTATCTACGCTTTCCTTCAGGAGATACATATAATTTGTTGTCAGTGTCTCATGGTTTCAGCTTAGTTTTATAGATGAAGACTATGGATAGCTCTCCTCTTAGAGTAGAAAATTAGTATCCTAATACAGTATTTAATGCAAAATACAAAATATAATTCAGAAAAAATGGAATTACAGCTGAAAGGTGCCTGTTCATGTTGTAATGGGTTAGTTTTTCTGGAGTCAAAGACTTTGGTAGATATCTGAAGTGAATCAAATTTCAATTTAGCGTTTCAGCCTTTTTAAAGTACTAGCTTCCCTATGAGTGCTACAAACTGTGAAGGCCAAATGAGAAAGCAGATGTAGAACTGTTTCTGAGGAATGGTGATTTTAATAGGTAGTGGCATAGCAAAGTCAGTAGTGATTGTTCTTGCCATTCTTACTTTCTGTTTATTTACTTTGCAAAGTATTTTTAACCTTTCAGTGTTAATGAACTGGCTCACCACTGAAGGGGTGGCACAAGACCAGGCGAGTCACCAGGCTGTTGGGAGAACAGAGTAGCTTTATCTCTAGAGGAGAAAAGAAGTGTGAGGCTACGGATAGTGACCAAACCATTCAACTGTTTCTCTCATCTTAAGCTAATACTGAATTATTGTTAGTAGCATTGGCATTAATATTTTGGATTTAGTGGTCTTTCAGAATAAAAGGATGTGTTGGAAGCACACCTTCTGTCCCTTAGCAGAATCTGAAATAAAAGATCTCAGTGTCTATCTGTAACTCTGGCACAAGCAAATTTATCTATATCCATTAGGAAGGTATCTGATTCGCTTCTCTGGATGGTCCACCTGGGGAAGGGAACTTCCTAGTAGATTATTTTGTTAACTCGGTGGGAATCTGTAATAATTTGAAACTCTGACAGACATTACACTGTTTATTTGTTGTAGGACTTAAAAAGATGTGAAATGCAAAATCACGGAAGAGAAAGAAGACTCAGGGTTAATGCAGCTGCCCTGAAGGATTGAATTCTCTATCCCTACTACTGCCACAAAATTCCTTTGTCATGTAAAAGCCACTTCAATTTTGGCATACCTCACCCCTGAGTGTTTAAATTTATAGTCTTAGTCTTCTCTTACCATACATTTTGTATATATTATAAATTCTTTATTATAGCCACTTCTAGAATATATAATCATATACATAAAACGTTTTGGTCCCATGTGGTTGTCATATATTTAATATTATGTGGAAATAACAAGGCTTCACACATTCTTTCAACAGTTTAGAGCTGCAGACTTTCCAACTCTTGGACTCTTTCCAACTATTACATTTTGTCATTAAAATCACTGAATAAGTTTCCTTATTCTGTACTAATGTTCTGAATTATATTATGAAATCATCACTAATAGTATTAATATTTTATTAAATATAGATCCTTAAAAATTAGTTATATATATGAAATTCAAGGCTGATAATGACTTAGAGTGTGATGCCTTGAAGCTTAGTAGATACTATAGGCATTCCTCATATTCATGATTAAATCGTAGCCAAATTAGGCATAAATGTGCCTACTTCAGTGTTTTGTTCTTAAAACTGTACGTTTGATAATCTCAGAGTGTGTGAGAAGGCTTCAGTTTTGAAGCTAATGTCATTTTACCAATAGTGACAGCCTAGTACCACAAGATAAATGGTGTTAGACTATTATCCTGTTGTTAAAACACAAGAAAGCACTTGGAATAAGACATATCCAATTAAAGTGGATTTTCAAAATATATATATGTGACATCATTCTTCTGTAGAGGTCCTTCTAGAGTTCCACTAAAAAAGGATATTTGCAGGTGATAATCTAAGATGGTTTTTGATGTATGTTATTTTGGTATATGGCCAGATCCATAAAATAATATGGAAGAGTCAAAATTTATTTAGGTGGATTTTGTGTGTCCAGGCCCAAATAAAATTTGTGTCCATGTTAGGGGTTTCTAGGTTTTCACTAGTAAGGTTTTCCAAAGTAGAACACTGAAGTTTTGTTCTCATTCACATCTTCTAGAATCTTATCACAATTGAGCATCTTGGCATCTGAATCTGTTTACTATTCATAAATTAGGCAATCTGTAAATTAGGCCTTCACTTGTTCAAAGGCATGTTCAAACCACACCTCAGGCACACCTATGGAATTGGACTTGGACCAAAACCCTGTGGTGACTCTCCCTTTTGTTCAGAAGCACAGAGGAGTGAGGAGGAAGAGGTTTTGTTTGTGTCTCCTTTAAAAAAAGAAACACCCAAAGTAAACAACAAGCCAACAAAACTCCAAAGCCTAGAACCTCACTTTTCCTTGCAGACAAGATGATTAAAGTCTAATTGGGCTAAAGAGATCTACGTGGTCAGTTGTTTTCTTGGAGGAAAAGGAGATGGTATATATACCTGTATTCTGGCCTGTGTTCCATTTAAAAAGTTTGAATGCCATTACAAATGAACCCAGGACTTCTGTCTGTTGTTTGCTGCCCTTCAACCTATAGAGGCATTTATACTTCTTGTGCTGCTCTGTCCAGTAAAGCTTTACTTTTTATTTTTGCTTCCATATTCTGAAAATTGCCACTGAAATGAAAAGTTAGGAGTTGATGCATCTTCCCAGTCCTGCTGGACAAAATGAGAACACATCTTTTTCCCCCTGCTGGTGTATTAAAAGAATATATTACTCCTGCTTTGATGGGAAGAGCTTAGATATATGTACTACAAGGAGAGGGACCAGGATTGAGTACTAACCTTACTTACGTCCTAGGCCTTCAGAAACAGGTGACGGCAAAATGCTGCGTTACTTAAGTAGTTTGCACCTCTGTTAACTTTTGAAAAGTCTTACTGAATGATGTAACTCTCCCTGGCTTTGGTACTTAAGAATTGTGGATCCTTTTGAATGGAATCCCCTTTTTGTGCCCTGTTTTAGTGAAAGTTGTGCTGCCTATTACAGCCAGAACAGGCCACAGAACTTACTAACCATGTTGCATAGTAGTGGTCTTGCTGCGAGACACTTGGAAAAGGAGGAATATGTGGGAATGGGCTGATCATCCAGCATGATGTCAGAATTTCAAGTGCTTTATGGTAGGGAGTAGTATTGCTAGTGGCCTCATCTACAAGAGTTTTTAGCTTGCAGCGACACAAGTTTGTGAGTGTATCTCCATTGCTTACAGAAGAATGATCCCAGATCCCGTAAACATGTCATTATCTGCTGAACTGGTAGATCTCCAGAAAGTTTCATCACTTTCTTCATTGGGGCAAATATTTCTGAACGTAGAGGAGCCAGGCTGGCCTGTAAGAAGTGGCTCTTGTGGGAGGTTATTGTTTGAGTTTCCTAATGTACTTTAGAAACACTGAGGAAATATATACTTTTACATCTTAAATTATGATCTTAATGATATGAGATACTAAGCTGCCTAATAAAAAAGATACTTCAAAACACATTAATACAGCTAATTTAATACTTCAAATTCTGAGAATCCTGCTGCTGTTATAAATAAAACATAAGTCTCCATTTTTATAGTTGAGTAAAGTTTTTAATGAAGTAGTTAATAATAGTTTCTGGCATTTAGGAATATTTGAAGTGTTTGGTGGCTATTTCATTGCATATGTAATGCAATGGCAGTGACTGCCTGATGAGTTTTGGCTATTACTGATATGGACCCTGGCAGAACAATGTTCCAAGAGTTTAGAGGTTGCTTTTGAGAAGATGGTTGTGAGTACAGAGAAGGTAGACTCCTGCTGGTGTGCTAAGGTAGAAGGTATGTAATTTTTCAGATTACTATTGCTAGAGAAATGTTAAATGCTTGGATTTTCACCAGTCATCCAAAAGCTGTAAGATACATTAGGAGAGTAACCTGTCTTGTTTCATGTGGTAACTTTCCTAGACCTTAGTTCCCCAAAGCTTAATTTGAAACCTACAGTGTGAAGTTGTAGAAAGATAAAAAATATTTTGTCAAAATCTGCTTATTTCCTTGGCTCAGTAAACAAGTAGGATTTTTTTCTCAATTAAAATCTGTAGACAGTTGCCTTTTTTAAACCTGATTTCCTAAGAAAATGGGATTTATGCTTTTTCCTTGTTTTCTCTCATTCTTTCCTTACATATTCACCAGTAACTTTTGAAATCGTTGATCAGTTGTAACCATGTTTGTAGGAGGGATGGAAATCAGACTGTAATGTTACCGCAGGTTTTGGGAAAATGGGTAGAAGCTGGGTAGAGAGAAATGTGTTCCTGCTCTTTCTTGAGAGAAAATGCAATAGGATTTTGGTACTGACCTGTTTTTTTCAGCATGCACCGGGTCTGTGTTGGATAGGAGAACAGAGTTGTATGTATCGTCAGGGCTTGAGGAGACAGGAAGAATATTGGGCTATTTTGGAAAGGGATGGGGACCAAAAATATAGTAGTGTAACATTATAGCAAAATAATAATAAAAAATAATATTTTTCTGTCAGCTTAAGAACAGAGGACAGTATTTCCCAAATTGGATTTCCAATAAGCCCACTCCTCTGTCTTGTAACATGGAGTTGAAAAGCAGGAGCTGAATTTACGTCTAGAATGGCATTTCTTGCCTTCTTTCCTGTCTGGCCTTTGCATTACCTATTTATCATAATACACAGCAGACTGAAAACTACCTCATCATGTTCAACTTAAAGATTTTTATCAAATCTCAGAAGAGAAATGTAGGGTGTCCTGCTGGTTGGTTTAGAAAAACTTCGTAATGGTAAAAGTGATGAAAACTATTCGCTTGTGCTGCTTTCATTTCTAGACAATTCTCTGCTGTATAGTATGAAATATACTTGTCAAGCCTTCAGTAACTGACATAATCCTCACAAATTTTAATTTATTGATTTCAAGTATTAAAACAGTTCATTTTTAAAATACAGCAGACTGCAAAATAAGTGTTTTGGACTAGTGCTTATTTTAAAGTAGTTTTCATAGTAACAACAAATACTCTAAAGGAAACAGGGTTTTCCTCTACTGTGAGTAGAAAAGCAAGTAGCAGCATGAATCACAGCTTCCAAGAACTGTCAGAGCAGGAATGCAGATTCTCTCTCTCTCTCACACGCACATACACACACACACACACACTTTCCTGTCACTTTTAATTTAGTAATGTGGTTTAATAAAGTTTTCTTGCCATCCATAGCAGCAACATCCATTATGTGTAATCAAGTTACTACTAGCAGTTGTGTATTTGAGAACTGCAGTTTAGAGCTCGTATGGTAGTTCCACTGATAGTTCCTTAACTGCTCACCAATTTAACATACAATATATTTTTCTGGAAATGTTTTTGTTATGAAAGTGTTCTACTTCAGTTTTTTATATAGTCTTTTTTTCCAGCCCAGAAGCTTTAGCTAAACATTTTGTGCTGCCCTAGAGCTTTTCATGATGTTTCATAGATAACAAGATAGGGTTTCAGCCTTGAGAAGCTTGTGAGCTGAATTTCACTGACATAGAAAATGATGACAGTGACTTCAGAAAGGGGGACAAGGATTCAAATTAATAAGCGAGTGAATTAAACAAGTTCTCATTTCTAAGAACATGATAAGATAGATCAGCAACAAGTAATATGAGAATATAGAAGCAAAAGACAGCATAAAGCAAGCCCAAATAATATACAGATTAGTAGGAAAAGAAGCAAAGTACTTTGCAGGATCTGGGAAGCATAATGAAAATCTGAATCAAGAGGAAGAATAACTAGAAGGTTTTATGAAATAGGGCAGGAAAAAGATATATAGAAACTTAAAAATTATATTGATGGATTTAGCTTTTCTGAAGAAAAAAAATGAGACAGGAAAAGGATTTGAGAGTATACTGTTTTGCTCAGTTTGGCAGGGAGTTTAGGATACAAATTCTGGTACTAAGATTTTTTTTTAACTCTTAAATTTAGCTGTCGCTCAAACTTGATTTTAAAGTGAGCAGCAAAACAACAGGCAGCTGTGCCTGAAAATTTAATCTCAGGCATTCCTGTTGCTCTGTTGTCACCTTCTATTACATGCAATTTTTTCTACAAGTTGGAGGATTTCATATTAATTTCAGTACAATTGAGGGTGGGACTATAGAAGTTTTTTAACATCAATGATAATTGACATACTACCATTTTATCTAAATAAAAAGGATCACAAACTTTTTTCACTAAAATAACTGAAATTGCTTTACCAAATTATTTTAGTTAAATTCGTACTGCCTTTATAGAGACAATTAAATTTATGGTTGGTTTAGACTGATTTGAATTAAACTTTGTGTTGCCAACATAAGAAATGAAAAATAATCTTGAATAAACTGGCATAGTTTTTTTTTAAAAATGCACCTAATCTTCCAGTATATCTCTGTAGAATATAGTTTGCCATTTCTTATCTGCATACTGGTATTTGATTCAGATCATTGATTTCTAACTTTAGAATATTTTATTTGACCACTTAGAAAAATAAATACGTAGGTGATAATGGTCTGCATTTCTTATCCCATTAGACTTGGCAGTAGATCTTCCTCAAACACTGACATTGTTCTTCACCAGGCTGACAGCTTCTTCTTTCTGTGTTACATATACTGGAGGACAAGGTGGTAAATATCAGAGGTTTAGAAGTTACTTTGTTTTGGTTATTTTATGTCAAAGGAAATCTGCCTATCCTTTCGTACAATGGGAGGGAATAGATTTACGTGTGCCTTAAAGGAGATACTTTGCTGCATGGGGGTGCTGAATAGAAGATATTAACAGTGGTTAAATAGGAGTAGTTTTTTCCAGCAGCATTATCATCAGTTAGATGATATTACCAAGTTGGTGCATGTGTATTTAAAACACAGCATGGTGTGTAGGAATAAAGAATTTATGATCTGTAGCAGGTGGAGAGCTGATTCTTCATTGAATAAGTAGAGTATTTATATAATTATAGAAATCTCTGTTGTATAGTTAGCTTTTGCCAGCACATCTTACTGAAATTGTTGGGTTTTTTTAATGAGGGGAGTTTGGTTAGTGAGAGGAGTCTAGTGGTGTTGCATGCCATGTTCTCTGAGAGTTTCAGGTTGTGTTCTGGGGTAGTTCACATGTCCTATAGTCCACACAGTTAAAATTTCATTTATGCATTTTATTTCTAGAAGTTTGCATAGTGTATTATTGATGTTCTCCAAGGTCATAATGCAGTCCAAAGCAATTACAATGCAATAATTGTAATATTAATGTTTTGTATACATTGTTTCATCTGTAAATTTCATATTACCATTGGGCTATTGCATTTGTCTCGCAGGTTTGGATTTCAGAGCTGTCTTAGGTGGTGTGCAATGCTGAAGTTCTCCTTCATGAGTATTTACATCGTTCTATTGACTAGAAAAATTGGAAAGTGAAATTGTGGACAATTTAAGGATGCATATAAAATGGCTGAAATGGCAGGAGAGAAAACAGAAATAATCAAGGGCTCATCCCCAAAATTTTTTTTTTTGACAGATGAATTTTCATTAAACTGGATTTTATTTATTTTTTTTCTGTTTTTTCAGAAGATTGTGCCAAAGAAGACTTTTATTCAGATGACATCACATTTGGACTGCTAATGCTACCCACCCACTCTACAAGGCACAATGTATTTCTAGGTAATTTAAGTAAGTATGTAGATTTTATTGCTACTAGAACAGTAATGCTTTAAACAGAAACATCTCTTTTTCAACCTCAGGCAAGGCAGACATTCCACTTCAATTTGGGATTCAAATTAATGGTGTGTGTGGGCAAGAATAAACTTCAAATAAGCTTTTTATAAGCTTTTATCCTGTACACTGGAGCATGGAATGAAACAGCTAAGCTGTACCTGAGCTGCCTTGGAAACTAGAAGGAAGAAAAAACCCAGAGCTTATGAAGGCACTGTCCCCAGCAATGCAGTCTGCTAAGGTGGCCCCGTGGTTTCTGGAGACTAAACTAATATCTCTCCCAGGGACGTCTTGCAGTGAATGAGTGCGTGTACTGGCATGCTCACTGCTTTTCTGAGTGTTTGTTTGGGTTTTTTGTGTGGTGTGGATTGTTTTTGTTTTTGGTTGGTTTGGTTGTGTTTTTTTTTGTTGTTGTTGTTTTGGATTTTTTTTTTTTTTTTTTTTTTGCATCTTGTTGAGATGACTTAATACCCCATTCGTGTAAGGATATAGCAGAAGAATGTATCTTAATGGTTTCAAGTGCTACTATCTCTGTTCACATGTCACCTTATTTATGGAAGGGTTGCTTCTCCCTGCTTCCTTGATTGTACACTATGTACTGTCCAGCTGACAGTGGGCCAGGAGGTGCAGATTTTCATCTTTTCAAGATTTGTCCATGTCATATCTTGCAGTAAGGTTGCTGATTGCTTTGTGCATCACACAGAGAGAAGCACAGAACAGCAGGGTCATTTGTTTATGGTTCATCTTTTGAGCAGCAAAGGAATTTTAATCCATGAGGATCATGGCCATGGCCCTCTGTAGACTTCATGTATGTGCTTTTATGTTTTATCTTTCTAAGTAGGTTTTATTTTTTAGATCTGTTTTTTTTTTAACTGGTTCAAAACATACGCTTTTATACTGAGTCAAGAAAACCCAAGAAATTGGTCCATTTATGTAGAACAGACATTGTGTCAATCTTGCTGAAATGGGGTTATTTTGTCCTGTTGGCAGAAAGCCTTCCTGTATTCCTAGTGGCTGATAATGCATTGGAGGTGCTTGGTCATGTGTAAAGCTTGGTTGTGAATGGAATTACAGGTAGCAGTGCTTGTAGCTAATGATGCTTGACACTTTCTGTTCCAGAACCTTGGTTTTAGTTGCTTATAATTTACTAAGACTTAAATGTCTGTTATGTTGCATTCACCTAAAATTCAACCAAATATCAGCTTGTGTCTGAGTTGAGAGGGAAGAACATACTGTTTTCTTGATGCAAAATGCAGTGAAAATCTTGCCACTGGAAAGATAAAGCACCTGCATGTGCTGGAGCAAGCACTCAAGATTTTAGGAGAAACAAATTGTTATGCGGCAGTATTTTTTTCTGCTAACCCACTTATATTAGGCAGAATGATGGATTTCTGAAAATACGTTTTGTACCAGTTCAGTGAATTTCCTAAATCCATTTCATCTGTCCAAATCAGATGAGGTAGATATATTCCAAATCCTTTTAGTCATAAGCAGACAGAGCTACTGAGCATGTTCTAGCTGGACTGTGAGAAGTAAACAGGTCTAATCGCCTTGACTCCATTGTAGTGTCAGGTACAAACACTGAGTAAGATTTTCTTCTGTACTCTTTGTATCACCCATCTTCTGTTGATTTGGTCCTTCAAATTCTGCTTCAGCAGTATATTTCCATAACTGTTGTCCATTTTTTTCATTATTTTTCTTTATTCTTTGCTTTTTCTCTTTATTGCTCTCTAATGTTCACAGGAGGTCATAATAAAATTGATCTTTTTGGACGGTGCAGGCTGTGTGTGGATAAAGGTTATGAAATACTTTTTTGAGCATCTTGAAAACATCTGTGTGTTGTGCATCTTTGATGTTACTTTTCAAGTAATATTTTTGGAATATGAAGACCATATTTTTTCTGAAATGGAAAGGCAATATACTTAAAATTTTCAGATTATGTACATGTGAAAATTTGTATAGAGTTTTTTTTTCTTAAAAGACAATTTTTCTTTAGGAATTGCTCTAAAGAGATCTGATTTTTTGTTTTCATCTAAATTTAGCAAATGTAGAGAAAAGCCTATTTTTAATTTGTAAAATCTGGGTATTTATTTGGATGTATACTGAATGTCAGTGAAACTTGGTGAGTCTGAATAGTTTGGTTATTCTAAACAACCAATGAATTAATTGTGTGTGAAAAAAAAAAAGGATTAAAAAATCCTGTCTGTAACTTACAATTCTAGGAGAAACTCTGGCATATAACCTAAAATCTAGAGGATTAAATTATTATATAAATAATATAGCCCAGAAAAAAAGCAGGCAGAGATTAAGTAATATATTCCTGGCTTTACATCTAAGGTAAAAAGCTATGTATACACCAAATATATTTTATCTAGTGTTTCTTTAATGAAGTTCTTATATTCCATAAATTTCTTGATTAGCTTCCCTTAGTATTTTTTTGTTCCTGTGGCTGACTCTGAGATGATGTTTAGAACCAGGCTAATTTCAGTCTTAAAGTAGACTAATATTCCTGTGTCATTAATCTGATTTTTTTCAATTGCCATAGCTGGTTAGCATGGGATTTAGAGATCGATTTGAGTCATTGCAGTAAACTCATGATAATCTTCACCCTTTTTAAATTTTGTTTGAGTTTGAGGAAGTTAAATCACAGCAGTAGTGCTTACAAACCTGTCTCAGACTATACTATCTGAATTTCCAGGGAAAAAAAAAGAGATGCAAGAATATTTACTTTTCCCTTACTGTACTTAATAGCTAAAGTAACTTAAAGGCTGAAAGAAATAAGGTGGAAACAAGAAGAGAAGTAAAATGTTTGAAATGAGAAAACAGGACATAAAATATGAAGTAAATAAGCAAAGAAAAGAGAAATGAAGCCTAAGGTATAGGAATATCTAGATTTGTATTTTCTGTTGAATTCTGGCACAGAGAAAATAATTTTTTTTGTGGAAGTCAATTGATGGTGTTTTATCATTATTTTCTTTTTCAATTGTGAGTCATTATGAAGAATGCTTGCAGAATTTTTCTGGAGTCTTTCAGTGTGATCAAGTACTTTGTTTGTCATGTGACGTCTCTGTTGATTAGTCTGGTTTGAAAAGGTATGGTTTAACTCTGACATATGCATTACAATTGTATTTTGGATGACTTAGACTGCTTTGGAGAAAATCTCACTATTGTCTCCCCTTAACACTTGCTTGGCTCAGTGTGTTTCATTTCAGTTTCATTTCTCAGAAAACTAGTCTCTGAGTTCTGCTGCAGGTGCAGAGTGCTCTTCTATCTCTACTGGGGACATGGAGTTCTGCATCCATCATGAAATTCCTGGGAAAATTTGAATGGTCCATGTGACAGTGATGTTCGCTTCTGGAGACCAGATGAATTCTAATCCAAAATAAACGCTCTTGAACAGCTAGCATAGGAGTGTCAGCACCAGCTGCTTTGATCTACTGATCCATTTGTACGGTTTCAGATTACTTTCTAATGGGGACAGAGCCATAGTTGTTCACTTCGGTTATAGGTCAGTAGATGAGGGCAGTGAACCTCTAAGATATGTACCTATGCTACAAGTCCAGCCATAAGTTTGGCTGCTGATTCAGAAAAACTTTAAAGTGCCAGGAATACTTCTTTTCAGTTTTACTAATATAAACCATTGATGAAGCACATAAATACTACAAATGACAGTGGTTCAGATGACTAAATCGTAGCTGCCTTTTGTAATTCTGATGGATTAGTTTGGGTTTTTTCCATGCTTATATTATTGAATTGTTTAACAGAGTGTCATGGGGTAGCTTTACCTTTAAGACAGGAGTCTTCTGATTTATTTCATTTTATGACTTTTTGCAAGTATTTGAAAATATGTATGCTTCCCACCCCATATGTTTTGCAGGAGCTGCTCATCTGCATTGATAAAACCCCAAGGCCAGTGTTTTATGGCAGTCATTAAGTAAGAGCAAGACAAAAAATGAAAAAGGGATGGTCTTTGCAGGTTTTTGCAGTTATTATCTTTTTTTGTGCCTTAGCTGTCATGAGTCATGACAGACCTTTTTTTTTTTCCTGCCTGGAATGAATTCCTCAGTTGTTAAGGTGTTGAAAATCTAAGTAATATTTAGGTGCTGGTGTTAAATCACTTAATCTTGAAATAGCAGTTGAAAGAGTACTCTCCATCTGCCCTGTTTAATTTTAAGTTCAGAGTTTCCCAAGAATATTGCATACTTAACTGTAGTATAATATCCCACATATGTAAGCCAGTAATTAAGACTAAATTCAGCTAAGTTTCTTGTTTATTACATCTTTGCAGAATATCTACCTTGGCTGTCAGCAATTTTGCTAAAAAATTTCCAACATTTAATTAAGATCTCTATTGATATGGATGTTTAAACCTACAGTCTTTTAACATAATTATTAAAATCCACCCAAAACTATTAAGCATGTAACAGCATAAGCAGCAGCAGCATTTTAAAACTGAAAAAAATAACTGGCTTTAATAAAAACAATACAGCTATTGCTGTATTATTTAAGTTGCTCAAAATTGAGATGTAAGCCTCAATTTAACATGAAGAAAAAAGTTGAGAGTCAAAGTGTGAGTTGTAAGCCTGTAAGCTCTGAAGACTCCTCGTTATTTTAAGTAATCTGGCCTTAAGAATATTTCACTGTTATGTTGTTATGCTCCATTTGTGTATTTTTAATGTGTTTTGTATAAATAAACTGTTTCAAACTTTAATGTGTGCTTAAATACAATACAGATGTTTTCATTCCCTGTTAGTATATGGTTTGAATGTAAAATTAATGTTAATTTCAGGATTTCCTCTGCATATTGATAACTTTGGTATCCCATTCGTCAATACCAGTGTTTTATAGGCCACTAGGTCTATTAAACAATTCTTGCAATGTGTTGAGCAGAAGGGAATTAAATAAAACCTGATTGTAATTTTGGGAACTTTCGTTAATGTTGGGATTTTGAGAGTTCAGAGAAGTCTTTGAGGGGCAGGAAATAAGCACTCAGAAACGTGTGTCATAGTACATAGAAGTATATGTGGTCTGATCGTTCTATGAAAGAAAAACTTGAGAATTGTAGAAGATAAAAATTTAAAAACTGAGGGAGTTTAAAGTCATTCAGATGTAGCAAATGTGGTCCTAAGTAGTTGATACGACTTTTTTGTTGAGTATGACAAGTGTTAAAAAGGACTAATAGTTCTTACAGCAGTAACTTTGAGGAATCATTTGAAACTTTGTAGGGTTTATATGGGGTGCCAGGATAGAATCTGAATTTCCAGAATACAAAAATGAATTTGTGATGTTTTCCCCACCCTTAACCTAATCTTTAAAATTCTTATCTTAAATATTCTAGCTGCAAAGTTTATAAGAACTTGGTGTAGAATTTCCTGATACGTTTTGTCTTTCAGTCAATATCTTGATCTTAAAAGATTTTTGAAAGAATGGGAGACACATGACAGAATTTTGCTGTGAGCATTGAGTTAGTCTGCATTCTGAAATGCAGACTAATGCATCTGAAAGCCTTCATTATAAAAATTCCCAGTGCCTGTGGTGTAATGTTCTCATCATAATTAATCAATGATGTGTAATTTACAATTAAATTAACTGGAGCCAATATTTTGGAGATGATACTGACATATGAGAAAAAGGAAATTTTTGTCTTCTGCTGTTTCAGCTTAGCACAAGCTCTGAAAGTTTCAGAGGAGGGAGTGCATGCTCAGGAGAATAAAGAAAAAGTGAGAAAAATTGTTATCTACATAAATAATGTTTTTAAAGACTGCGTGAATATTAAAAAATGTTAAATGTTACAGTGTTACTTTGAGCTATAATTTTTCTTTGAGCTTTGTTTCCTGAATATTCAGAAATTCAAACAGTTCAGTGCTGTTTGAATTCAGTAAAAATACTTTTCCTTTATTTCCATATAAGAATGTTTGCAGTGATTACAGTAGAATGAAATTGAATTTTGAATTGATTTTATATACTTTTTCCTATCCCTGCATTTCTGTTTCTGTTTAGTTCACGCAGTACTATCTCTTTTGTTACAATAATGTATTATCTTTTCTACCTGAACAAGTCCACTGACTGCATAAATGCTGTCTGATTGCATTTCCATTGATTTTTGCTCGTAGCAAGGTGGCAAAAAGATACTTAGCATCTATACCTAAAGTGGTTACTGAGTGTTTTGTCAAAAGTTTCTAGGGACAATAAAACTAAACTTGTTTTGTCTTAGTTTTATTCATTCTTTAGCCAAAACAAGATTTATTTTCTCTCTATATCAGTTGCAAAACTCTTCTGGTTTGTTGGTTTCTTGGGGGTTGTGTTTCTGTTTTGGATTGGTTGGTTGGTTGGGTTTGTTTGTTTACTTGTTTTGTTTTTGTTTTGTTTTGTTTTTTTCACGGGGCGTGTCTCCTTTCCCTGTTTAGGCACTTCTTGCCTTTGTAATATGAATGCTTCTCCTTTATCTCAAGTCTTGCAATCACTGGAATTCCAGTTGAGCCCAGATTCTTCTATTGAAAGTTCTGACAAAAGAGTAACTCCAGTGTTTTCTTTAGTGAAATTGAAGTCTGGAATTCTGTAAGTATAGTGTTGAATTTTTGTTTACAGAATAAGCTTGTTTTTTCAATAACTGGTAGTTGTATTGAGGGATAAACTGAAGGATCTGTCAGACACTAGAATTCTAGAAAATTAAGTTCTTCTGTTAAAGTTTGTTAACCGTAGGAATATAATAGTAAGCATTCTAATACAGAAATGTGTTTTGCCACATTTTTTTTGGACAGAATCATAGGCCTGGTTTGGAAGAAATCTTAAGGATCATCTAGTTCCAATCCCCCTCCACCATGAATAGGGAATGCCATTCACTACAGCAGGTTGCTTTGTACCTGGCTTTGAATGCTTCCAGGGATGGACCATCCACGATTTCTCTGGAAAACCTGTTCCAGTGCCTCAGCACCCTCTGAATAAAGAATTTCTTCCTAACATCTAATCTAAATCTTTGCTCCTTTAAACTGTCCCTCCTTGTTACATAATTATCTGCTTGTGTAAAAAGTTGCTCTTCATCTTTTTTAAAAGCCCCCTTCAAGCACTGGAAGGCTGCAGTGGAGCCTTCTCAGTTTCAGTCTGATGAACCTCAGCTCTCTCAGCCTGTCTTCAGTAGGAGACGTGCTCCAGTCTTCTGGTCATCTTTGTGGCCCCCTCTGTGCCTGCTTTAACAGGTCCAGGTCTTTCTTGTGTTGAGGATCCGAGAGCTGGATGCGGTCACCCTTTGTCACTGGCCTTCATTTGGACGTAGAGTCATCGACCGCAACTCTCCGGTGGTGTCCGTGCATCCAGTTAGCTTTCCCTCCAATTGTCCACCATTTAAACCTTTTAATTTAAACCATTTAAACGTCTCTCCAATTTGGTGAAAAGGATGTTGTGTGGGACCCTGTCAAAAACCTTACAGAAATTTAGTTAGATTACATTGGTTGATCTTAACCTTGTCAGCTGTTGCACCATTGTAGAAAGCCACCAGATTGGTCAGGCACGATTTACCCGTAGTAAAGCTGTGCTGGCTGTCTTAAATCACCTCGTTGTGTTGTATGTACCTTAAAATTGCTTCCATGATCTTCCCAGACACGGTTGAGCTCATTGTTCTGTGTCTCCTCAGATCTTCATTTCTCCCTTTTTTTAAACACAGGACTGATATTTCTGTTTTTCTAGTCAATAGGGTTTTCATCTGACTGCCATAAATGTTTAAATAGATGGAGGGTGCCATGGCAACATCATCTCTTCAGGTCCCGTAGACTTGTGGCTATTCAGTTTCATCAAGTGGTCCCAAACCTGCTCTTCTCTTACAGTGGCAATACACTCAAGTGACCATCCCCTAGCGCTTCCCATGTTTTGTTTTTTCTTTTTTCAGCTACCTCATTCATTTTCCTTTTGTTACCACTTTGTGGCCTCCAAAATGATTAGCAGGACTTCTGGGGAAAGTGGTGGGTGGAGGTTGGGAGGAGCTGCTTGTTTGGTAATTTTTGACTTGGACTGCACTTCAGAGTTGTAGTTTAAAATGTTCCAACTGTCTCATTTTTTGGAAATGTGAAGTCTCACTTCTTTCTTCTTGAAGATGCTTTCCGGTGAAGTACACTGCCTACTCCATTTTTCAGGCAGGCAAACAGTCCACTCTTCACAAAAGCTTTACAGAATAATTTAGCTGTGCATGAGTCACCCATGCTGGGAAATTTAGGCACCAGAAGCACTTCCACAGCTGCACAAATCATGGATTGTGCAATCAACTTGTGAAAAATAAAGTGATGACTAGCACTAAATATTTTTAGAAGTATTTTACTTACATGTATGCATTTCTATGTGATATAGATAATTAAGTTTCAGATAAAATGTTAGCTTTCTGAAGCACCTGTCATATCTTCTTGGGTGTTGCTGTTAGCAACCGTTGTAATTTTTTAAAAATTATGTCCATTTGGTATATCTGATCCATTGTGTTACAAATAGCTGCTGTTGGTATAAGTCATTCATCAAAATTTCTTAGTTTCAGATTATTAATTAAAAGGAATATCTTTGTATAAGTATCTGTACTGAGGATCATCGTAAAACTGTACAAGTTGATGCTGATTAACATGCTGTTTGATAAATAAGTTGACAGCTAAGCAACACGTCAGGTATATATGTATTTACATTTTGCTTGAGATTCCCATTGACTTTAAGGCTGAGTTCTGGGTTTGTTTTCATATCCGCGAGTCTGGATCAGTATATAAGAATAAGTTGCATTTTGCCCAGAATTTTAATTTGTCATGGATTGTCATTTGAGAGGCAACAGCACATGGGAGAGTAATGATGTTTCATTTAAATATGATGCAGGCTTGTCAAGTAGTAACTACAATGCTCATTTCTTTGAGCACAAATTTGAATCTTGTTTTTCCTAATTTTGCTCTCTGGTTGTGATTTAACACATGGTGTAGGTCAGCATGAAATGCCAGTCTTGCCAAAAGATGTCTAACCTGGTGATTTGCTGCTTCCCCTTCCCCTGCGCCAACACAGCTTTTGAGCAGTCATATGGTGAAACAAATGTAGTTGATTTAGCTGAATGAAACAACATTTGGGTTAGTCTGGGGCTGGAACAGTTTTAGGCTCTGTTGACTGATCACTTATTAACATTAGCCGAAGAGAGGGAATTTAATGTGGCCATGGAAGTGGAGTGGTCAGAGTAATGATCAAAGGCTAACATTACACAAACTCTTGGCTTGATCAAGAAGATTGGTTAAAGTGCTTACAAACATAAGTAGCTGTTAGGGTGTGGAGTGCATGGTCTCTGTAGCCATGTAGCTACCTGTGTGGTCTGTGTGTATTCCTCTTGGTATTTTTCATGTGGTAGTTCTTCATCTGTGGACAGATTCGGAGGAAGTACTTAATCTTACTTCTCCCATATTCTAGGTAAATACCCTGACCACAAGTTAGGAATAAGTCTTTGTCTTCTATTTGAAGAAAACCAGCCAACCAAAGAAAAAAGGGCAAAACAAAACAAGCAAAAAAACCCCAAAAAACCAAAACCACCTACAAAAATCCCTTGAGTTAATTTTACTTAGTTGTCTGGCATGGTGTGCCAGTTCCCGTCTGACCCCTCCATCACCTTTTCATGTGGGCATAACTGAGAATCAGAAACATGTTTCTGGATGTGCTACATAGTTGTATCTTAAAAGAGTAAGCAGATGATATAATTTGGTGTTCCTTAAAAGTGATTTAAGACTCAGAAGCTATATCCTTAATGGGCCATAAAGGGCGAGGATGAAGCAGGGCAGCAAGTAAAATTACAACCATGGACTTCAGGAGAGCTAACTTTTGCCTCTTCAGGGATCTTGAAAGAATCCCATGGGAACAGGCATCCAAGAGAACTGGTTGATATTCAAACATGACTCCTTTAAGAATCAGGAACAATGAGCAAGAAGTTGGACAAAGGGGATGAGAGACCTGCATGACTGAATAAAAAAACTGTTGTCATTTTTCAAGTGTAATCAGGAAATACACAGGAGATGGAAGCAGGGGCAGACTGCTTGGAATCAATATAGAGTGCCTGTTAAAGTAGAAACAAGACAGGAAAGGCTGAGACCCACCTTGAATTAAATCTGATTGAGGATATCAAGGACGACAAGAAGGGCTTCTTCAAATACATAAATAACAAAAGAAAAACCCAAGATAATGAGGCCCTCTTACTAAATGGAAGGGGACTCTGGTGACAGAGGATACAGGGAAGGTGGAGACACTTAATGCCTTCTTCGCATTGGTCTTCACTGACAAAACCAGCTCTCTGGAATACCTGACTCAGGAGACCAGGGTTAAGGAATGCTGGAGGAAAACTTTCCTTCAAGGAGGTCAAGGTGGATTAGATTAGAGACTACCCAGGTAAACTGAACGTTCACAAGTCCATAGGCCCTGATGTATTGGATCAACAAATGCTAAGTGAGCTGGTGGACACCATAATGAGGCTGCTCATGAGAGGTCAGGGCAATCGGGAGAAGTACCTGAGGACTAGAAGAAAGCAAGTGTCACACTGGTCTTCAGAAATGACAGAAAGGAGAACCCAGAGAGCTGTTGGCCAGTCGACCGTATCTCAATCCCTGGAAAGGTGATGGAGTGTCTCATTCTGGAGGCCATCTCTATCCATCTGAATGACAAGAAAGTGATCAGGAGCATGGATTCACTAAGGGTAAATCATACTTAGCCAACCTGATTGCCTTTTATGATGAAACAACTTACCTGGAGGGATGAGGGGAGAGCAGTGGTTATTTTTGAACCTCAGCTTAAGCAAGACTTTCAACACCATCTCTCACAGCATCCCTGTAGGCAAACTCAGGAAGTGTGGTCTGGATAAGTGGATGGTGGGATGAATTGGGAGCTGGCTGACCCCAGAGAGTCGCTGTCAGTGACACGGAGTCTGGTTGGAGGCCTGACACTAGTGGTGTCCCCCACAATTCAATATTGGGAATTGTTTAACTTACTCATCAATGACTTGGATGAAGGGGCAGAGACGTCCTCAGCAAGTTTGCTGATGACACAAAGCTGGGAGGAGCGGCCAACCCCCCAGAGTGATGTGCAGCCCTTCAGAAGGGCCTTGACAGGATGGAGAGATGGGCAGAGAGGAAATTCAGTGAAGGCAAGTGCAGGGTTCTGCACCTGGGGAGGAGTAACCCCAGGCGCCAGCACAGGCTGGGGATTGAGCTGCTGGAAAGCAGCTGCACAGGGAGGGACCTCGGGGTCCTGCTGAAAACAAACTCTCATACATGAGCCAGCGATGTGCCCATGCGGATGGGAAGGCCAGTGGTGTCCTGGGCTGCATTGGGAAGGGCACTGCCAGCAGGCTGAGGGAGGGGATCCTGGTCCTCTACTCAGCCCTGGTGAGGCACATCAGGAGTGCAGTGTGCAGTTCTGGGCTCCTCAGGGCAGGAGAGACATGGGACTTCTGGAGCAGTTCCAATGGAGGGCGACAAAGACGATTAAGGAATTGGAGCATCTCTCTTCTGCAGGGAGAATGCTGGGAAGGTGGTTCCAGGCTCTTAGTGTTGCCAAGCAGTAGCACAAGCAGCAGTGGGCAGAAACTGATGCACAGGAAGTTCCACCAGAAGAGGAAGAACTTCTTTGCAGTGTGGGTGAATGAGCACAGGAACAGATTTCCAGAGTCTGTGGAGTCTCCCTCATTGGAAGTACTCAGGAACTGTCTGGACACAACCCTGTGCTTCAGGATGACTCTGCTAGAGCAGGGAGGCTGGATGGGATGACCCGCTGTGGTCACTCCCAGCCTGACCCGTTCTCTGATTCTGTGATAAAGGCATTGGGTGCAGAAATAATTTGCATAACTTCTTGCAGACCCTCTTGGCCAAGTGTTGACTTACTTGATTTCTGAAAGTTTTAGAATGGCATAATAAGAACAGAACATGAAGTTCTGACTGACATTTTCTCTCGATTATTCAGAATTCTGTATGTAAAAAGTGTAAGTGTTCATTTGAGTGTAAAAGCTAATGTCTTGATTGGGTGTTTTTTTCTGGTCTAGGATAGAATTTTAGAAAGATTCATTTGTATGAATTTCATAATCTCTTTTTAGCTTCCTTTCCCACCTTTTAAGACTTACCTTCATGCTAAAAGTCTGGCAGTTGAAGTGCTCATGTAATGTGTAGGTTCATTTGTATTTCAGGAAGAGTAATTGAGGTAGATAGCTGAGCGTTGTTGCAGTAATAATAAGAATAAAGTCTCATTTTCTAAACTTAAGCCTGCAGCTTGAGCTAAAACACTAAACAGAAATTTTGCGTGGACTAGAAGAATTTCCTTGGTGTTATCTTGCTTTGAATGTGTAATTATTATGTCTGTTGAAATTGATAATTAATTTTCTCCAGGACAGGTTTCAAAAAGTAGTTGATTTTCTGTATCTAGTCATTCTTCCCTTTTATTATTGGGCTAGAGGAAAACCTTTGATCTGTCTCATTTCTTGGTGAGTTATGTTTATTTTCAAGTATAGGAATGAAATGTTTAATACATTTTTCTTCTTTGGTTTGATTTGTTAGGTTTCTTTGTAATATTTTTGCTTTGATGAAAATGTGACAAACCATTTTAGAAAAATTGATTGTTAAACTAACGTTTGTGTCTGCTACAAAGCATCTAAGATTCATAATGCTCAATTTCATAAATATGCATGTTTTTAATTGAATTAATTATTCAAACTGTTTTTAACTCCAGGAGAGATATCTTGGTACTGTATTTTAAGGTTTTTTCTTTAAATTTCTGTTAATATTGAGAAATCATCAAGTGAAGATTTTTTTTTTTATTGTCTGGTAACTTTATTCTGTAGAAAAAAAAATATTTGTACGTAGTAATAATTTTATGGGATAGTTGTTATATTCAGTGGGAATTTAAACTTTAGAATATGCGTGTGGAATTTTTTCACCTTTTGAACTGCTGGAAAAACTTGTCAATTGTCTACCTTCTCAGTTCCATCTAAGAGGCTGGAAGAAGGAAGCTTGGTTTTATTTGCTCATTGTGAAATGTACCAAGTTTAGATGGGTCCTGTTAGAGAATAGCAGACTGCAGGTCTTACACCATCTATAGCACTTTTTTCTTCAGCACAGTGAGCTTCAATTTAGGATCTGTTCTTCAGCTGGCTAGCTGACTGCAGGTTGTATCTTCCCAGAATTCTGTTAAAGGAAATGAAGATTTACACAGGGATATGATAGTTTTCAGTTTTGAGTTGTAACACTAACACTAAGGTTAGTAATTAGCTTCTCTGGACCTACACTCCTGTTATGAAGTACTGGTTTTGTGTTAAGCACCATTTAAAGAAACTGTAGGTATGCTTTTAAGCCAGACTTGGTTATGAAATCCATATTGTATTTTAGATGTGCAAACACAACACTTACTCAAGTCTAACCCAGGGTACCCTGTTATAGAACCAGGAGTGGGAGATGTAGCTAGGAGCTCCCTGCTCTTTGAAGAGGGGTATTGTTTCTTAGCTGTGCCAATTTTCAAAGGTAGATGGAGCCACACTTTTGAGATACAATCTGTATTACTTTGTTCTTATTAAAACTATGTGATATGTGCATTCTTTTAAACACATAATTTCACAAAGCTGCTTCACTCTGTGACCAGAGCTAAAGGGGTGCACGCCTCCAGTGAGAGCCAAGGAAGGGTGGAGGCTTAAAAAAATGGGAGCAAGTGGGATCATAACATGTTGCCACTGTTATTTTTTTGTACAGACTAGTTGCGCATGACTTGCAAACTTTATTTGCAAATCTTACAGATTTGTTATTGAAGGAAGGAAATCTCTCATAAGGAACTGTGTATACAAATTACTGAGAAAGTATTTTAAATGAGACTATAGAAGAATAGCAGCTGTTTCTGATGGCTAGGTTATTAAATGCTGCCTTTCAAATTTATCTTATAAACTTGGGTTTGTACTATTTTTTATTGTCCTTTTTGCTTTTCTGTTTTGGGGAACTTGTTCACTGATAACTCTGAAAATTTGTGTTGTATCACTGTTTTTTCTGTTAGTAATTTGATGGAGGCACATAAACAACACCTCAGGTGTTTCTAAGTATAGTTAGCTGGAATCTTGGACGGTGAAGGTAATACAGGCAACCTGGAAAGGGATGGAGGGGAAAAAAGCCTGGTAAGTGCTTCAGCACCCCACAGCCGAGGACCAATTATTAGATACCTAGCAACCAGCTGAGTGCTTTCCTGGTCACCCCCAGGGAGCTGGAGGGAAGCCAGGCTCAGGCAAAGAGCCCAGATCGCTAGTGAATTCCTGGTGAGGTGGCAGGTCTGAGGATGTTTTAAGAAGTCAGTTTGGTGAGTCAGAGACCAGATCAGGGGGGTACATGGATGAGTGTGGGCCAGGTTTGAATGTATCATAAAATAGTTTAGGTTGGAAGGCACCATAAAGATCATCTGGTTTCCCTTTCTCCAGTCACCTGGAACTTAGCTTGATTGCTATGACTTTTTAAATATTGTAGAGAATGGCTGTACAAATACATGAACCAATTCCCTCAGGACTCTGGGATGCATCTTATCAGGTGTCATGCATTTACGTACAGTCAGGTTCCTCAGGTGATGATGAATCTGATCTTCTTTACTGCAGAAGGGACTTTGTTCCTCTAGTTTCTCTTGTGCAGTCCATCCATTCAAGAGGTATGGTAAGAGAGGCTGCAAGCCAGGACTGAAGCAAAAAAAGTTGTTGAGTACCTTAGCCTTCTCCTCATCTGTTATTACCAGTTTACCAGCCTTGTTTAGTGGGTGTGTACTCCTTCTTTGACCTTTCTTTTCTGGTTAATATACCTATGGATGTTGTTACTCTTTGCATCCCTTGTCAAGTTCAGCTCCAGCTTCACCATGGCCTTCCTCACCCCATCCCTTTAGAACTAGACTGCGTCCCTCTACTCTTCCTGGGGTACCTGTCCTGGGACAGAGTAGAGGGATGCATTTATATTATGCCCTTTAGTTTGACCAGCAGTCCCTTCTCATAATTTTTAGATTCTTGCCTTCCTTGCCTGATTTCTGGTGCCTGGAAATCATATAGCTGTTGTACTCTGTGGAGGACATCCTTACAGATCTGCCAGCTCTGTTGCTGTCCCTTGTCCCTGAGAGCAGTTTCCCTGATGTTCATATTGGCTAGCTCCAGAGGCCCAATTTTACTGCTCACCTGATTCACATCCCTCAGGACTGCAAACTCCACAGTGTGTAATCACTGTAGCCCAGGTAAAGGTCTGAGGCTTAATAGAGCTTTCTTGCATGTATTTTCATTGCACTTTGGACCATGATGAGGAGCTGCACTGCATCAGGGCGGGAGCTATGGGGCCATCTCTGTTGAGTAAAAGGAAGGAGATAGAGATGGCAGAGAAGGGTAGAAGGGTGGCTGCAGAACAGCTGGTCAAGCAGGGAGCAGCCCCAGTGATCTGGAGCAGAGGAGTGATAGTCCTAAGTCCTAGAGAAATCTCTCTCCTGATGGTGGGACAGTCTAGTACATGAATCATGCAGGAGAGAATTGCTTTTTCCTGTAATCCTCAGAATGCATGTTTCTATGAAGATACTATTTGCAGTGATTTTTGAGCAAATTTGTTTGAACAGCTTGTTTAGGTCCGTTACCTTGTCAGGGACTAGACCAGGGCACATCTGTGTGACAAACCATTTCTAAGAAGCTAACCTCTCTTTACCTCTGTAGTCATGTTTCCTGCTACTCAAGATGATCTGTAGCCTCTTCTAGCTGCTGTGGGCTGTGTACGATGGTATGTAGACAGTATGCACTCTTTCAAATGTCATTATAACTCAACTAAATCAGTGATATCACTAATTACTACCATAACAGTCCTTCTAACAGGGATTTAATCACTCCTATAGACTGCTTGGACTTACCTTCTTCCCAAAATCCTTCAGTAGCAGACATGAGGCTGCCATTCAGATAACGGCAACCCACACCACCAGTCTTCTGTTCAACTGCACTTTCTCAATTACGTATCTTTGAGTAGTCCCTGAAAAGGTGGTGGACCTAAGGAAGCTGCTCATCCCCAGCAGACTACTCATGGCCACTCACAAGTTTTCCTATTAAAAGCCATCTGGGATCCATCCATGCTAAAAGCAGCCCTCTCATCAGTTGTCCTGTGAAGCACTGGAAGATGAACACCTGCTGCTATGGTGTGTTTTATCTCAGAAAATGACATTTCTAGGATCTCTTCTGCAGAAGCACAGACCAAAATATGTGACTATTCCCAGCTGCTGGAATAACCTGTTCAGCTGCAAAGTTTGAGCAATATTCCTTGGAGTTCCTTTTAGCCCTGCCTTTTGATTTTTTTTTCCAATGGCCCCCCCTTTTTTTTTAAGGTATAAAAGGTGACATGTCGGTTTTAAAAACATAGTATTTTCACAGACAGCCTTTGATTAGCAAGAAAAGATGGATAAGTCATTACCCTAATTTGCTGTCTGTTGATGTATATACCATTGCAAGCAAAGGAGCAACTACCTTGAAACCTGCTTGGTTGTTCTACTGGACCAAAGTATATGTGATTAGAGAGCAGGTGGTTATGGTTTACCTGTCTAAAAATCTCCTGCTCTACAAAATACTATGGTTCCTGGAGAGAAACTAAACCATACCAAATTCTTCCTCTTCTCCTCTCTACTCCACCTCCAAAAAAAGAGGAAGGTAAAGAGGAAAATGGGTGGGCTGGAGGTAATGCAATGAAGCAAAAAGCAAAATGGAAAATATGAGTGATAGTGATGTGCTATTCTGGGCAGGAGATAATGGCTGGATCTCTGCTTGCCCTAATTATGGTATAATGTCCTACTAGAGTAAAACCCCAGAAATTCATAATCCAAATATCAGAAGCTCATGGAAAGGAGTATCAGGAAGGTTTATAATTATCTTCAGAATCTGTATAATGAATAGGGCTTCTTATGCTGTGCTTGCATTGGGAGTCAGGTTCTCCTCAGCTGTTTGCTCAGTGTGATGTTTCTGCTCTTGGTCTTTCTTACCCTGGTGGGTGGCTAGTGTTAGAGCTCTGCAGGGCACTGGTGGCCTTGATTCTTTAAACAAGATCTTCTCTACAGCTAATCCTCAATGATTTTAATAACTAGTTTGCTCCCCTGGCAAAATTGTATTATAGCACAGGAATCAGGTTGCATTAAGGAAGTTAATATGGTTCTGTTTCTGTTTCAGCTGTAGGGTTGGAAAACTGTATTGCTTCATATGTTTTTTTCCTGTGATATTTCCAGTGTAAAATTATTTGTCTTAATAATACAAGCCACCTCACATTATTTCTGAGGGCTGTAATCTGCAAAGTCATGTAAGTATTACTTGTATGCTGTGACATAAATTTTACAAAAATCAAGGTTTTTCTATAAAAATAGTTTTTACAGTATAAAGGCAATACTTACTCTTTCTCAAAAATATTTATCAGTGTTTACCATTACGGTGAAGTGCTGGAGACATAGGAATTTCAGTTACTGGCTCTGTGCAAAATGAAATACAGGCAATGCATTCGCCATTGTCCCACTCATTTTTCAGTCCAGTCCTGACAGAATATCTGTTATTAACAAGACTGTACTGTAATTGCATAGTTTGTTCAAGCTTTGAATTTGTTTCCAATATTTAATGTTACCAATGTGCATTCCAATATTGATAATAAAATTGGACTGAAGGTACTGAAATTCTTTCAGTCTAAAAAAATGGAATTTTTTATTGGATGGTATGAACTTTATTACCTTAGGTTGGATTGTGACTTTTACCCTGTAACTTGCTCAGAATCTTTTTTATTTGGCCAGGCAATGACTTGGGACCCAATAACTTATTTCCACTCCATAAGTGATAGGTCAGCATAGTTCAAAATTTGCTGTATTGCTAGCTTTTGTAATTTTTCTACAGATTGAGCAATTCTGTGTAGGAATGGTTTGTATATCCATGGCAGCAGCTAAGATTTTTGATTAAGGATCTTAGCTTCCTTAAAGATAGTAAGTTTCTAGCTGCTTTGGTTACAGGAAAGTTGGAAAACATGCCTGAATGTGTTCAAAACAAGCGACAGACACACGTAATTTATTTTTTTTAGAAACTAATGAGTTGTGGAGACAGAACAATGACCTTTGAGCACTTGTGGCTGCCAGTGCTGGCATGTAGGCGTTTTAACCTTTCTGCTGGCTTTCACATGCATGCCATTTCTACTGAGTTAGAGATCTATGTGGTTTTGGCAACAAAAGCTTTTCCACTGTGATTAGCTTCTCTTTTGGTCTGACTTAAGCTTGCTTGTGTTCATTTATGATATAAGCATATTCCTCTCCTGTTCTTAAAATCCCTTTTTGAAATAGATGTTAAGAGCTCCCTTTTTTGACATTATAAAACATGGTTCTGTGATTAAGAACTGTGATGTTTGTCTTAAGCGTGTAATTGTGATTTAAAAGAAAAGCATCTCTACATACTGCAGTGAGGAGATCTAATATTTTCATTATTAGAACTCTGTTAGGCATTGGGTGAGAGTTGGCAGAGTTGTTCCCCTCCAAGCAGTTAAAAACCACTGGTTTCCTTCCATGGGACTCTGTCACTATTAATGTTTGCACTTGTCAAATGGAACAAAACAGAATAGGAGAGGAGGCTGTAAGCACCTAAAAAAAGTAGGTCAATGGGCCAGCAGGTTATTTGGCCATACAAGAATGAGTGGCTTCATTGAATCATGCTGTAATTGTTTTTCTCCTGTTGGCAGATTGTTCTGCTATGTTTTAACTTCCTATGTTAATATTTCCATCTGTATTTTAACCACTTGAGAGCCTCTGTTAGGTGCAGGAGAAGGCACTTAACTTATCAAATCAAATAAGTAATGATTCTGGTATTTTCCATAAAATTCATCAATGAATTTATGAGTAGCATAACCTTAGTTGATAGATCCCAGCTTCCTTTTTAGAATTTAATATACTTTAAAATATTTTTTTTCAGAAATGGAAGAGGTACATATTATAGTGAATTTGTTTTATTTTAAGACCAGTAAGCAAGGCAGATGGAAACAGGGATGAGGGAAAAAACCTGGTATCATGTAGCTTAAAAATGTGGAAAGTGGTATGGTTCTTGGGAAGTAACTGTAAATTAAATGGTATAAAGAGTAGGAAGCAGGTAATCACTTATGTGAGTGCTGAGCTTTTGTTTGGAGGAAGTGCAGTTGTGAAGCAAATTTTGTGATACACTCTAGGAATTGATTTTGAAGTGGGTTTTGAAACAAACAGTTAGTGGCTGTGTTTGAGAAGAAGCAATAATGCAGTGGGGCAGCTTTGCTAGTTTACAGCAGTAGCATTCTATACATGCTGGAGTCCTAAGAATAACAATGCTGGAGACTTGGAGAGGAGAAGATATAGCAGAGAAAGCCAGAAGAGACCCTAATAAAAACTCCAGTGAAAAGATGTTTAAATAATGGTGTATAAATACGCTTTGAAGGTAGTAAGTGGACATGAAGATGTAGATGGTATGAATGATACCAGATTCTGAAGTGAAAAGGACATCAGGACTAAAGACAGATGTAAAGTGATAGCTTAAAGCCAAGATAAAACTGTCAGAATATCCTGCTTAGCAAGAACTTTAAAGCAGTGTCTGTTCAGATAGTGAAATACTTGAGATATTTTTGGCAAGCAGAATATTGCATTTAGAGATTACTCTTGTTAAAACAATTGCTTGTCTTTATTAAAAAATTAAGAAGTACATAATTTTTAAACTCACTGATTTTAAAGCTCTCCATTGTTATTTTTTGACAGTTCGGAATTTATTTTCTGCGGAAGAAGATACATCTAACTCCACATTGTTCTTCACAGGAACCAGGTTTCATCCCTAAATCTCATACTTTAACAAGTCCCAAAGTGTAAAAGGTAAAACTGTGTTCATATAATTATTAAGGTTCCCATGGCTTTCAGTTATCAACACTGATGGGCTGAGTAGCAGTGTTAAGCAGTGTCTTTTTTTCCTCTAGAACGTGACTGAATTTGAGTCTTAGAAATAGACGTAATATTTTTTTTACCTAGTGTTTACTTTCAACTTGACTGTTTTTGGTGGCATTATGTCTGCAGTCTTATCCTTGATATGTGTAAGCACTGTGAGTGTTCAATGTCTTGGAAATATAGATGCAAAGGCAGAAGGGTCAGACCTTGAAAGATGAGAAATCAATATGCTACAGGTGCATTTCCTGTATTTTTCAGTACTTAAAACTATTTGTCTTGGATACCAGATCTAGGTTGCTGGTTCTGACATAGGATCTGTATATTGTAATGGATGATTTTGCTGAATTCTGGGAATTGAGTGCTCTGTTAAAGTGAAAAATACTGACTTTTAAATTCTGATTCTGCATAATGAATATGTCAGTTATGTCACAAGTAAAAGCCTCCTGTATTTAGCAGTATAGGTGTTTTTCTTTTGCAGATTAGGGAAAGTGTGTAATCTGTTTTACAGAATTTCATATTGCTCTTGATCCCTATAATTTTAAGTACCATTTTTGTATAAAAATTAACACAGGGCTAGAAGTGTAATTAGTGCATAGCTGTTTTAGTGCTTACCATATAAGCTAAACGAAAACAAGTTTATAGCTGTTGTCTTGGTTGTAAACATAGTTCATGCCAGTCATGATGGTTAGCTTTTACTGCTGAGCAAGCTGTCTCTTGTTGTGCAGTTTTGACAAAAATTCAAGCAGACATTTCTTCATAATTTGCTTCTCTCGTGTCATTTATGGCTGGTTTTCAAATGGCACAACTCTGTTACTTGGCCAACTAATTTGGGGAATTTAATCTGTCAATATGGCCAGTGCAGTTGTTGAAGAATGTTTGCTTTGAAGAATTGGAGCGAAGAAGTGGTTTGCTGCCAGTGTGTCTTCATAGCACTAGATTTTGGAGGGTGAAGGCGAGACAAAGATGGTCCGTACTAATTGAAGAAGTGGGGCTTTTGGGCAGAAACACCAGCACACCTTGTGATGTGCCTTAAAAGAGATTCTGCTGCAGCACAGCTCTCCCATTTATCTTCCTGCTGCACTCAGGTTATGAAACTTCGTGGTGAAAAGTGCTATTCTTGTGCAGGAAACCCACATGGTATGTGGCAGTTGTAGATGCAGAGACAGTTTGGTTGAATCACAAGTTTTCTTCCTTAGTTTCCTCATCATGCATTTGCTGCCATATTTCTTGTGATATCGACACTGCAAGTTCCACTGGTTTTAGTACTCTCAGAAACAAACAAATCTTTCTCAGAAAATAGTGAGTTGCTAAATGGACTAAGATCATCTTCTTTGACATAAAAAGCCTTTTACTATAAAGTTTTTAACCTACTAAAAATTCCTGAAGGTCGGCAAGTTCAGCTCATATAAAACTTGATGCATGCAGTTGTTCCCTAATCACTGCCAGTGTCACAATCTTGGTGCTCCATTTGAGCAGTCTCTGACAACTGACTTTTCCATATGAAATAAACATGTTTAATTCTATTGTTTTATGTTTGAATTTAGCCTTTTCATAACCTGTGTTATAGTCCTTCTCTCACTATTAATATTCCGTTCACATTCTTAACATAAAGTCAAGTGCACATCTGGAAAACCAAAAATTTCCTGCCGTAAGCGACTGCTTTAAGAAATGGTTGGATTAAATTTTTCACAGTACAGAGATCACATTCTAATTGGTATCTTATCTTTCCACGTGTTTATTATGATAACAATGTGTCCAAGAAAAAGTGCAGTAAGAATAAATTATAGTTGTAAAGTATCCCAAATGCTTTCTGCTTGCACTGTTTTTAAATAGAATTTACTGCTAATTATATTTGATATCTGTTCAGGCTTCAAACTTATGAGGGTTCTTCAGGGAAAAGCTAAAATAAAAATTAAAAGCTATATCTGAATTCAGTGTCATAAAAAAGTTTGTATTGGTTTAGTACAGGCTTATTCACTGTAGCCTTTAATAATATTCTCTTGAACTCTGTCATGTAAAATAAGATACAAAGGCCCAGGTTATGCTGGTATGGAGACTGCTTTAGAGAAGGTAGGAGTGCAGAACAAGGTTGGAAGAGCGGGGAGGATTAGGAGCAAATTAAAGTGTCAGTATGCTCTAACAAAGAATGCATTTTTTTCCTCTCAGTCACATTTTGATATTTTTTCTTCTCTTATAGGCAAGCGTACAAATGTCTACCACAAGACTAAAGTGTGATATGTTATGTTTTTTACCATAAGCACCCATAAAATGAGCTCCATTGCAGACAGGTATGTTAATATATATGAAGAGTTTTGGGAATATTACTGTTCAGTTCTTTCTTTAATAGTCTTTTTTGTAAGGTTAATACATTTAGATGTTAACTTATGCAAAAATTAAAGAGTGAAGTTTTGGTTATTTTTGACAAAGTTGATTTGGTAATTGTTAGATATGTCATTTTGTAGTCACTGGAAATAGTGATCTCAATTGCTTGAGGTTAATCTTAAAATACATTACTTGTTTCCAGCCATGGAACAACATATGTGCAAGTTGAGCTGATTTTTAACATTTACTTGAACTTTTAATTTTTTAGTACTCCAGTTTTTGATTAAGAAAAGCAAATACATTTAAATGATTAGTGTTGCAGCAGATGATAATAAAGTGACCCGCTAACCTATTTCAAGGGAAAAGTAATAGCTGAGGTATGTTTTCTACTCGACTCCTTGTGCTGCTCTCTCTTAGCAGCTTAGGTGAACATCTGTACTTAATATCCTGTATGTTACCATTTTTGAGACTTTGGGAGATGAAACTTGCATCTAATTTATGTCAAATTAAACACAATTGAAAATAAGAATAAAAGCAAAGGGTAAAACTTCTATAATGCTTGTCTAACTTGTCAGTTCTTCTAGTGAAATTTTGTGGCATCTCACTGAAACTTCAGCCTTTTAAATATATGAATTGCTTTTAAAAGCTTGATGTTTATGTAGTAGCATATAAAATAGTAACTTCCTAACATCACTACTTATCATAATGTACAGTACAATTGCATGATGGTTTATGAATCAGAGAGATGAGGTAAGCATTTTAGAAAGGTTACTTGGCTTAAGGCAAGGAAACATTAGGATAAGAAATTCCAAGATAGACACACGGAGGTCAGTGTGGGCAGCACTAAGTAGACTAAAAGTAGGGAGAAGTTAGAAAAATAATGTGTGAAAGTCCATTATACAGCAGTTTTGGAAAACAGAAGAACAGTTTTGACTTGACTTTCAAAGCAAAAGGAAGTGAAATAAAGGAATTGTATGAAGGATACTGAGACCTCTTCAAAGGGAAGCACATTCTTATTTTGGTAAATAATACCAAAAATTTATTAAATCAAAATACCAAATATTTTGGTATTTTAACACCTCTTTAGCAGTAGATGGACAGTTGTCAAGCTAAGAAAGTTATGTGGTACTTATTGAGGAAGTAAATATAATGAATAATTACTGTTTAATGTTGATAATAATTGTGTATTTATGAAATTACATATGTGGATGAAGTATAGCGTATTCCTTAGGTCTCTTCCACCAGTAATATTTCAGAATTTATGAAAAATACATTTTCAGTAATTGGAATAGAAATTGCCAGTAAGTAAAAATCAGTTACATATGTCCTCTCCCATGTTTTCAAAAGGGGAAAGTAATGCAAGTAATCAAGAAGACAGAGAATCAAATTTAAGTGTTGTTCAATTAAGTGCTTGTATAGGGCTGTAAGTTCTTTTGAGAAACAGCCTGAGAATCCTTTCAGTTGTATCAAAAATACAAGGTTTTTTTCTTTTATTTTAGTAAATGCAAGCAGAAGATAGAAGACTTAGCTTCAGGTTACTGATGATGGTCCTTGTGAGACATCACAGTAAAACAATTCCTTACTTTCTTGATGTAGTGGGTATGATGATGGTGAATAGTTAGCTCCTTCCCCTTCCTCCTTCTTTGTGATTTGACTTCAGAGGAGAGGAATGTCCACTCCAACATTTATTCCTTTCCATTTCTTTCAGAAATGACGGAAGCATTTTTGATGGGCTGGTGGAAGAAGATGACAAAGATAAAGCAAAAAGGTAAATTTCAAAGTTATTTAAAGCTAAGAAATGTCCTATACTTGTATGCTTTAACTTACCAGTGTGATTTCTAAACAATAAAAAGGTTACTCTTACAAATAAGCCTATTACTCAACAGCATTTCTTCTACTGTGATTTTTCAGATATATTGTATATTTATTATTGTGGTTCAGTTATTTGTGTTTTGTAAAAGAGTACTTTATTCCAAAGCCTTTGCTGTGCTGTTCCTTGTGGAGGAAGCCATTCTTCAGAAATGGTGTCTGAGATATGGAGCAGGTGTTTTTCTGACAGTTATCAGTTTTTTGTGACAGTTGTAAGTAGAAGTTCTTAAGGGGCTGTTTGCATCAGGAACCTGGCAGTAGTATGCAGCTTATAAGAAAGTCTCATGGTTTTTATGAAACATTTTCTGATTTGCTTTCCAGAGTGTCTAGAAACAAGTCTGAAAAGAAACGTCGAGATCAGTTTAATGTGCTTATCAAAGAGTTGGGTTCCATGCTTCCAGGTAATGCTCGGAAGATGGACAAATCCACTGTGCTGCAGAAGAGCATTGACTTTTTACGGAAGCACAAAGGTAACAATAAATGTTATTTATACATTCTTAAATTTTTAGGTGATACTCAATTATTACATAAAATATAAAAAAAAATTCAGCTTCCTTAGGGATTTTGTCAAAAAATTGTGAAGTGCTCCTGGAGAAAGATAGTCTTAAGATCATCTAGGTAGCAGAGATGTAACTGTGCTTCTGCTAATACTTAATAAAAGCCAGTACTATTTGTTTTGTCCCATAGTTGTCAATGAAATATGTTTCACAAAGAGAAAATTTATTTTTGAAATAACCTCAAAGTTTTTTGTTCAGAACAGACATTGGTGGTAGTTGTTAAAGTTCTGCTTCACAGGAAAACTGCTGATCCATTTCAGTGGAAGTTCTTGCTGGAAATACTTATTTGATTATTTAGATAAGCCTGTTGATTCATCTCTCTGGGCTCTACATGAGAGTTCTCCTTCTTGTCATGTCAAGTGCCTACACAACTGGCTACTTAAGCAAAGGTGATAAGGCAATATTGTGAATAGGGCATTGTGGTTTCCTGCAATGTTTCTGAGCTGGTTGCTTGACAAGTAAAAGTGAAATACAGGTGCATAGAGACCAGTAGTATGGGCATTTTGGCTTTTTTTTTTGTTTGTTTTTAGCTGTGAAAAAATGCCGGAAAAATCTATAAATACTTTTAGCTAAACTTTTAAAGTTTTAAAATGCTCCCATGGATGTATAAGCCACTGAGTGTGTGTGTGTGTGTTGTTCTTTAAAGGTCATGTGAAATGTCAAAAATATCAATATCCTTGAACATCCTTGCTATGCTTTGTTCCTCTGGCTGTTTGCATCAGCTGATGGTGGGATATACCCAGATATGTTGTACTGAAGTTTGTTACAGGTTGTTATTTCTGTCATGAAAAATTTTTTTCCACCAAGCGTACTCTTGTTTATGGCTGTTATATATTATGTATATAAAAAATCCCTGTTCCTGCTCCTACACTTGTTCTTAATATGGCACCTTGTGGTTCACACTGCCAAAAATAAGATGAGAACTAAAGAAAATGGACTCTTTTGCTAATTAAATAATTTCCTTGGGTAATTTCTTGGAATACGTACTAACTAGAAAGTAGTAGGGTCAAAAGAAGAAACTATAAAGTCATGAAATAAGTAAAGCTGTTAATGGGTAAATAGTTATGTAATTATCAACAGTATGTGTGTCAATTTAAGATATGAGAAATGTTCTTACATGCCCTAGCACATCTCTTCTATTAGTGTTATGTTTCCAGTAACACCAAATGTGTACTAAATATTGCTATTAAAACTGTAAGCGTAAATAAAAAAGGAGGGGGGTATAATTTGTATGAGAATTCATAGGTTTGGGGGTTTTCTTTCCAATTAAATATTGATTGTGCTCTTAATTTTCTGAGATGTGTGTCTCATAACAAAAAGAAAAGCAGTATGAAGGCCCCTCTTCTGTAAAATTCAGTTCTTTAGGTTAAAAGGCCTTTGTGAAATTTGATTCTGTTTCAAAATTATTTTATCTTGTACTGGTGATTCTTGACATAAAATGCAGAATGTAGAACAAATGTGTGTCAGTCAGCCAGCAGCACCAGTCATATTTTTTTTTTTAAAGTGCTTTATGAGATAATTTTTATTTTTATTTTTTAAGTAAAGGGGCAAAAAGCAGCTCTGGAGATGGTTGCCTTTTAGGGCATGGCACTTTTGTCCTTCACTTGGTGTGACAGAATGCAGCTCTGTGTGGCTGCACATATCATATTAAGTTCCCTAAAGCTCTGGCTGCCAGTGCTTACTAGCATTGCTGTGCAGTGTTTTACATTTAAATGTTTTTGGAAAAAATGTTGGCAAAGTTCAGAAGAACTCAATTTTATTTATTATTATTTATTATTTCTATTTATTATTTTATTATTATTGATTATTTAATTATTGTTTATTTTATCTCCTGAAGTGCTTGGATATGTTACAATAAAGCCAAATGACCTAGCAATAAACGGATTTTTTTGCTGCTTTATGGTTGAAATCCTACTATGTTCAGCCACCAGGATTTAATTGGGTTGCTTCTGGTTGTTTCTGGACTATTTCCACATTATCCCGGCTTGGTACTCTGACACCAGCTCCAGATGAATTATCTGAATTGGTTATTGGCCAATGTGGATTCTGTTTCTCAATGAGAAAATACAGGAGGCTAAACACACTGAAATTGTATCACTGGGAGCTTCTCCTTGACTAATACTGCCTGTCATCTTTCTTTGAATTTGTAAACAAGAAATTTTTTAAAATTAGTAAATATTGAGGAATGTAGCTGCGGGTAGAATAATTGCAAGTAGTAGATTGATACTCCTACAACCCACAGAGAAATGGTACAGGTCTTGGCTTGGCTAACAATTTCTTTTGAGAATTCTCAGTGCTGGTGTAGAGTCACTTCAGATACAGAACTTGAAGACTGAAGTTTAATGTTCAAGTTTGGTTATGCTCCTCTTTCTGTTATCTAGCTCAGGAATGTGACCTTACTGCCATTTATCTATGAGTGCAACCTTCTGACAGAACTTCTAGGCATTTCTCTGAAGGTACCGAGTGAAACAGGTTCTTTCTGTAACTTCAGCTCTGTTTGCCCATATCATACTTGCTCTAATGATGGAAAATGTAAAAGAACACCTGTACTTGTGGTATTTAGAATGGTTTGTTAAAGGCATGAACTTAATCTTTTATTTAGCATAAATCCATTCTAATGCAAAATACAGTTTTTTTAATTCTGAAGTAGGATGGTTATAAGAGCCAGAATGAGCCAATGAATCAGACTTTTCCAGTTTAAAGTGAAGATTATCTGTGTTCTGTGGAATGAATGCTCTAAGTTCCTGGAATTTTGCCTCCACTTTGGTGGCAGAGCTGTTCATTTTTGTGTCATTTGACTTGCCCCTCAGTGTTCAGTGTCTTTGTGCTGACTGAAAAGCTACGTTGGGGGTTATACTTAGGTTTTCTTTATTCTCCACTCTTCCTGCTCTGTGCTGCCATTTAAAAACAGATTAGAAGAGTCTGATGAATTTATATGTTTTGTGAGCTTTGATAATTGGAAAGTCTTATTTGTTGACTTTTTTTCACCTCTTCTTGCAGCTTTCCACTTTTGGCCAGTATCTTGCATGACATTGCTGTTGTTTGCTGTTATTTTAGTTAAGTCTAAAGCTCTTTTGTAAAATTTTCCCCTTTCAGTGTGGTAAACAAAATTGCAAACTGCTCCAGTCCTTTGCTTATTTAACTCAATTCCAGGTTTTCTGGCTCTTTAAGCCATGTGAACTAAGACTCTGCCTTACGATCTTTGTACAGATTTGTCCTTTAAAAATCAAAAACCTTAAAGAATTGGTTTAGTTCTTCTGATTTGTTTAAATACTTGATTACTTGTCCAAGATTGTTCTTAAAACCAGCACTTCTGTGATGCCCTTGTTATTCATCAAAACTGAAGTGCTTTGAGGTTTTGCTTCTTGTTTCAGTTATCAGTTGGTAAGGAAGCATCACTTTCAGAAGCTGGGGTCAGGCTTTGCTTAGCAGCTGTTGATTCTCTCACCTATATATGGAAGTTAATCTATATATGGAAGTTAATCTATACATTTCTCAACTCCTGCAGGAATCTCTACTTAAGATTCATCTATGTCCAAATTCATCTGTGTGTTTGTAACAGTCAGGAATTGTAAAGTGGAGTCTGTCATGCAGCACTTAAAAATCTTTGTTGAAAAACTACTCTTTTTTAACTTTAACCAGAAAAGAGCAGGGAGAAAGGACAGTGGCAAGTTTTTGTGCAGGGGTTAGAATGACAAGGATTTGCTAAGATACTTGAGCATTAGCCATTTTAATGACATAAACAGATCAGGAATTTTGGCTTTCTAAGTCTTTGTAAACAACACTTTTAATAAAACATTTTATTACTGTCTCAGAGGAAAGAGTAGTATTTTTTCATTATCAAAGTCCATTGCTTCAATATTACCTTGAAGTCTGTAGGACTGTAGGACAAACTGGTTGAAGGGAAGAGGAGACAAATTTAATTATGACACGGGAGAAGACATTTATTTTCTTTTTAAGGAGCAATATCTTTATGTAATGAATGAACAACAGAGGAGACTGGAGAGCTTTCTGCTGTTTCTTAACGGTGTATATGTAATTTAGGGTGGAAAATGGCTTTTGGAAGTATTAATCTTTATACATATATAAGATATATATCTGTGTATGTGTTTGATTGTAGAAATTACTGCACAATCAGATGCCAGTGAAATTCGTCAGGACTGGAAACCGACATTCCTTAGTAACGAAGAGTTCACACAGTTAATGTTAGAGGTATATTATTTCTGTTTTTCTGGGAGTAGAATAATTCCTCACCAGCAGTCATTCCATTATGAAATTGTTCAGTTTGATGACATACCTTTTTATTTTAATATTTTCATATTTGGGTTGTAACTGTATTAATTCACTGTGTTTTCATGAAGATAAATGGTCAAAAATCCTATATATTCAGAGTTTCAGAATTTTGTTTCAGAAAAGCAGATTTTCTTTGAACTACATTTTCAATTAAATAAACATAGTAAAAGAGCAAGTCCATAAATTAACACGTTTACTGTCCAAGCGGATGTTTTAAATTTTCAGCATAAGGAATGTACTAGAGAAAGAATTATTATGCATAAGTTAAAACCCTAATTATGAAAAAGGCATAACAAATCCATGTAACTTGTGAGCAATAAGTGTTAAACTTCCTTACTTGATATACTTTTGAAAACTGGTGTGAGCATTACTTTGCTGAAGATTACATGAATAGTTGCAAAACTACCAGAAAGAAACTTTAATTATAAGCTATATGTCATTGAAAATGAGCATAAGTCATTTATATCTTGTTAAGTGAAACAATTTTTAACAATAGTTAAATGAAAAATATTACAAATTAAACACTTTTTTATTTTCATTCCATAGTTAAACCTTTGCTTTGTGCACAGATACACACACAAAAAAAATCTGCTTTTAGATATTTATAAAAAAATCCTCTGATATAAGAGTTTTTTTTTAAGATGTGAGCTTTAAAATTTCCTATTTAGAAATACAGTTCTGTCACGCTTATGTTGGCAGCTTTCAACTGAAACGTTATGTTGTATTCAGAGGAAAGAAATTTGAGTTCAGTAGGAGATAAGGCAGTCAGAACTGTATCTCACAGTTTTCAAGTCTCAATAAAATCTCACTGCAAACTTCTTTCTTTGAGATTTGGAATACTGAGATTTTTAAATACTAAAATTCATTGATTTTGCTGCCTCTTTTGCCTGTTCTTCTCATAGTTTTCCCACATCTTCTTGCTTTTGTCTCTAGCTCATTTTTATGAGCTTTCTGAGATCTAAAATGGTGACAGAATTAAAAATAACAGGCAGGCAGAGTGGGAGTTGAGGGAAACAGTGTCTCTCTGTATGTGCACTTGCTTCTCAAATCAAGATTATTTAACAACAGAACAGTATGGAAATTGTAATACTTTTAGTGTAAAAACAAGATTAAGGATTTTTAGTAGGGAAAGACATTCCCATTTCTGTAATAAACTAAACTAAAATTGGTCTGTATTATTTTCTGTATTGAATATATTGAATAGCTTAACATTTTTAGTATGCTCTGTTTCTTTTTTATTTAACTGCCCATTATGTTTAATTTCAGGCTCTTGATGGTTTTTTTTTAGCAATTATGACAGATGGAAATATAATATATGTGTCTGAAAGTATAACTCCCTTACTTGAACATTTGCCAGTAAGTAACAAATTGCTTTCAGTGACATACTGGTTTGTCTGTGGTTGATTTGTGTTCTGATATGAGTTCTAATTAATTGTTGGCCTTTCTGGCATTTTAGGACAGATATATGCTTTAATGTTTCTGTTCTTTCTTAAGCACAACTGCTTCTTACTCGTCTGTCTTCTATATTAAACATTTCCTTTGGAAATGCAGAGTGCAGTCAGCACTCTGTAAGAAAGGATTATGAAGTGCCTAGCATCACTTTCAATGTAACTAAAGTAACACAGTTGATTGCAGGAGACCCTTTAGAGTTCACGGCCTCTACATGAGTCAGAAGAGTATTATGAAAGCTCTAAATATTTGAAATTTTTTTAACTACTTTTTTACTTCTTTCTTGATAAAGCACTTGATAAGTGCATTGCTGCTGGTTCTGCTTCTTAAGTTCAGTATATGCTTTTGGGTGTATCATATTCAGTTACCTTTAATGTGGGTGATATTGCTCAGTGGTACATCTAACATTCTAGTTTTTAAAGTTACCTTTGAATAATGTTATTCTGAGGTGAGGCAAATTAATTAGTGTGAACAATTGATGTGTTAAATTGCGTGCTTTTCTAGAAGAGAAAGACAAATTCTATTTGAAGACTAGTTGTCTTACTGTGATAAGAGACAAAGTAAATTCTCATAAGGTATGCATGATAACAGTCTGAGAACTTTTTAAATATGCAGGTAATTGTGATTTTTTTTTTATTTTAATAGAATTTGTCAGGTTCTCAGAGGTGTTTATTCTTGGCTTTTAGGTGTGATTTTATGATTCCTCTTTTCTGAGTACTTAACCAAATGCATTTATGCGTATAATTAGTTGCTCAGTTTTGTTGCATTTGTTTTTGTTGTTCGCAGTTTTGTATACATAGCTATGGAACTGATTGTAAAATACAGTAACTGGCAACTCATCCTCACCCAGCAGCTCACTCATCACACTTCACTGGGATGGGGGAGGCAACTGGAAGGGTAAAAGTGAGAAAACTCACAAGTTGAGATAAAGAGTTTAATAGGTACAGCAAAAGCCATGTATGCAAGTGAATCAAAGCTAGGAATTCATTTACCACTCCCCTGGGGTAGGCATATCAGAGTGAGGTTTTTTCCTGGCAGAATATTAATATGTATTCCAGCAGGTGGCTTTGTTGAGCCAGTAATGAACTGTGGAATTGTTTTGCATTAAAATAGTAGGCTTTATGACATTGTACGTCTTGAATTAATGCTTATTAAATCTTTTTCTTTCAGTCTGATCTTGTGGATCAGAGTGTATTTAATTTTATCCCAGAGGGGGAACATTCAGAAATTTATAAAATATTGTCTTCTCATCTGCTGGAAAGTGATTCCTTGACACCGGAATACTTAAAATGTAAGTAGTTATTTTGAGCTAACCCCTATAGGCAGCTCAGCCCCACACAGCCACTCATTCATTCCTCTCAGTTGGATGGGCAAAGAATCAGAAGAGTAAAAGTGAGCAAACTTGTGGGTGGTGATAAATGCAGATTAGCAGGTGAAGTCTAAAGCTGTCTGCACAAGCAAAGCAAAATAAGGAATTTGCTTGCTCCGTCTAGTCGGTAGGCAGTTGTTCAGCCATCTCTAGGAAAGCAGGGCTGTGTCATATATGATGATCACTTGGGAAGACAAATGCCACGAACCCAGATGTCTCCCCCTTCTTCCTCTCCCCAGCTTTTATTGCTGAGCACAGTGCCATACAGTATGGAGTATCCCTTAGTTCAGCTTTCCCTGCTGTGTCCTCTCCCAGCTGCTTGTGCACCCCCAGCCTCCCCACCAGCGGGGCAGAGTGAGATAAAGAGAAGGCCTTTGCACTGTGTAAGTGTTGCTGAGCAATAATGGACACATCCCTGTGTTAGCAGCACTGTTCTAGTCAAAATCCAAAACAGAATACCATGTGAGCTGCTGTGGAGAAAATTAACCCTGTCCCAGGTAAAACCAGTACAGTAGTTGTGTTAAAACTATATACTTGGAATTATACGTGATCAGTTTTTTCAGTTTTATTTAAGCAGAGACATATACTTCAGCCTTGAAGAACAGAAGTGTTACTTTGTGTCAGCCCTGCTCTAGAGTAGAATTTTCAGTTTCTTGCCTTTCAGTCTATAACTTTCTTGTGTATTAGAAATACAGAGAAAATAATAGATAAGAGCTCTAAATAGAGCTTGTATTTAGATAGTTTTAGCAGTTGGCAAGTATAAATACATAGCAGCCTAATGGAGTTTGGGAGCATGTGCTTTAGTGAACTTAAGTTCAGGGCGTTTTCTTTAATACAGCTCTAGTTTTCAGAGGTTTTCATGTCATTAATATTCAAGCCCTTCATGCAAAAAATCTAAAGGAGTTCTTTATGTTAGTTATTGTCATGCTGGTTAAAGGCAGATGCTGTTGATGCCTTAAGATTCTAGCCTTTATATTTTTTAAATCCTGTGCTACATTAGTGTATAACTCTAAACTCCATATAAATGTTAATTAATTGTTTTGGTCAGGCAGAACATTCTCTCTAGGCCTGAGATTCAAGGATACCTAAGAGCCTCAGGACCCAAGAAGTATAAAAAAAAGTGAATTGTGGGGGGGAGCAAACTGGGGGTGTGTGACTTCATTACCTGAAGCTGTAATTGGAGGATCAGTTCCTGATAAGTAAATAGACCAAACTTATATCTGCATGAAAATCGTCCATCTTGGGTGTATCCTCTGGAAGGCTTCTGACTGCCCAAGGTGTACCTGTTTGAAGGCCTTAAATAAAAACCCACCTTATTCTCTTAATCTTGTCTAGCCTCTCTTCTAGATAGACAGTCCAAGGCATCACTGGAGATAGCTGTAATCACTGCACTTAAAGTACCTCAATATGTATTCAGCTTAATTATTCCTGCTTTCCATTTCATGTTGCCTGTGTGCTTCATCAAGCATATAGCCTATTCATTTGTTTTTTTCTTTTCTAGCAAAAAATCAGCTAGAATTCTGTTGCCATATGCTGCGAGGAACAATAGATCCAAAAGAGCAACCTACATATGAATATGTAAAATTTATAGGAAATTTCAAATGTTTGAATCATGGTAAGTAATTTCAGCAGTCTTGGAATGGAATATGTAGGCAGCTCCACAGATAAACTGGCTTGGGACTATGGTGCAAAATGTAGGTGAACTAAAATCAGGCTTTCAAAAGAAGATTATGAAGCAGTTTTATCACTTCTATATTGGTGTAATGGAAAAGAAGAAAAACTGCCTATCAGGTATTACAGGTCTGTGTATTTGAAAGCAGAATGTGTAATTATGCTTGATGTTTTCAATGAAAGAAAACTAGTATTTTGTAAAATATTATTTAAAAGAATGTAAGAGGAATTTAAGCAAATACTTTAAAATAAAGAGTATAAATTTAGTTAAGCATAAGGCATATTTAAGCAGGTGACTAACTTGAAGATTAGCGGTACTGAGTTCTCATTACACAGGCAACTGGGAAGGAAAAAGTAGGTTTTCCCCCCTTTCAGTTGTGTGCTTTCATTTGACAGGAGTTACCACTCAGATGAGTGGGTTTTTGCTCTGAGTTCCTATTCCCTTCCATTGAAATTATTTTTATTAGCTGTGTGTAATTTTCTTCCTCTGTACTGCATCTCTAATCTGTTTGGCCAGGCTGTGCTATTTCCTTCAGAAGCCTGTTTGTTTGTCCAAGTGGATTCTGCAGTGTGATCAGTAATAGATTTTTAGAAAGCTCACCCAAAAATATTGTGAAAAAAATGGTATGCTGTAAATAAACCTCTGGGGTTTTTTATCTGATACCAGTATTTCTCTCACAAAATGGGAAGAGGTTGAGGCTTTATTAGTTGTGTAATATTATAGGATGGACAAGAAACCGTCCTGAAAAGGCCAAATATCATGCTAGTCTTGGAATGAGGAGTTGGGAAACTGCAGACCTATTGGTTGCAATTCAATATTTGGAAATACTCTGGAACAAATAATTAAACTATATATGAGTTTCAGGAAGCTAGCAGGAAATTGAATGGCAACCATTGTGGATTTTTCAGGTAGAAATAGCATCAATCTACCAAAAAGTAACACACTGTGTGAGTAAGAGGATAAAGCACAAATAAATTATGGACTTTTAAAATATGTTTTTGTTATCATATTCTGTTCTCACAAACACATAAGGGAAGCACAATTGAAATTGCTGGAGAGTAGCTGCAGACTGATTGGAAAGGTTACCAATGCTCACCATCGAAGTGCAATTTTAATTGACAACTTCTGGATTTAATCAGTATTTTCATTAATGTTATGAACAATGGAACATAGTTTGCAATTACAAAATAATGCACTAAAAACAAGAGAAGAATTCATCCCCAAATTTAGAAAGTTATTATTTTGGGCTAAAACCTCAGAAAAATTGACTGAGAAAAAAGGCAAGTTACTGCATTTAGGAACATTAAACTGTATGACAGGGGTGGTTACAGCGAGCAACGTAGGAATTCTTCAGGAAAAGGAGTTAATGTGGAATATAAACTGAACATGACTCAATCGCCTTGACCAGCCACCAAACTGGGAAAAGGCAAAAGCCTTTCTAAAATATAATTTAAATCATATGAAATAATACCCTTGTACTTCTTAGAACTTTGTATGTCCTCATCCAGTTTTTGATACTTACTTGTCAGAAGAAGTTGGAGAGTTCAGAGCAGAGCAACAAAAGCACAAAAAGCAACAAAACTACAGATTTATAGTAGTTTATAAATCTAGCTTACAAGGCAAGATAAACTCTGAAGAACAAAGGACAAGAGCTAAGATAAATACGAAAAAACTGCCTATTTTCTTCCTGTTGGAAAGAGCAAGGAGCTGTAAGATGAGATTGTATGAAGAAACTTCAGCAGGAGTTCTAATTTGGAGCTGAATTAAAACCAGTCAGTCTCCGAAAAGTCTCACAGTGTTTTGAAATTGCCATCTCTAGACCTTAGTAAATATAAACTAAATTGGTAACTGCTGGAAATGAAAGATAAGGTTAATCTGTTTTGAGGTCTAGCCCATCCTTTGCTACCTTTTGATTCCATCTCTGTGATTCAATAAGTGGAATTTGTTCTCAGCTCAGTATCCTGATTCTTTCACTTCCATAATTGTGTCTTTGATTCTTCTGTTACTTGGTATGTCTTCAGCATGTGTTGCTTAAATGTGATGGAAGTCTAGAAATAAATACTTACCTCAGAGTTCAAAAGAAGAAGTTAGCAAAACCTAATACAAAAGATAAAATTTAGAGATATTTTTGAGGAAAATTTTTACCAGTTAGCAAGGATTAGAACTCTTACTAGTTTCTTAAAGGTGCTTTGTCAGTAATAATATCATATTAACTGTAGTTTTAGTTCTTTGAGAAAGTCACTTGATGGTGTATTCCCATTACTACTCCTGCTGCTATGGTGCTATTCCTGTGCATGTAGCTATGTAGCATTTTTCTTAATGCCCGTTAAGTTACAAGCGAACCACAGATGAATATTGGGCCACTTTTCTGATATCACTGCCATTTTCCTCCATACTTACATTGTCATCTGTGTTGTCATCTCCTCTGTCTGCCCTCAGTTCCCAACTCAGCGCACAATGGTTTTGAAGGAACTATTCAGAGATCACACCGGCCTTCATATGAAGAGAAAGTTTGCTTTGTAGCCACAGTTAGATTAGCTACACCTCAATTTATCAAGGTATGTACAAATGAAATCACTTTTTTATCATTCTTAAATGGACTCTGAATGGGAAAACTTTAGAGGTAATGCACACAACATTTAAAATATTAATGAAAACCATAAGGAATTCTATGATAGGAGACTGAAAATGTCTGTTTCTTACTTCAAATAGCCTAAGTTTTATGCAAAATATCAAACAAAGTTATGGTGAACAGTAATTTAAAATAGTAATATAAAAAAGAAATATGCAAGAAATAAATTTCAAAGAAGTCCACAGGAATATAATTTAGCAAGATGAACTTAAACAATATGAAAGATTACATTGATATTCCACTTTCACTGGAGAAATTATTGATCTTAGTTGAAACTTGGATGTGAATTTTTTGTTGCTGGTGGTCTTTCTGTGGTTTGACACAGAAGTTAATCTTGGAGGACTAAATGAAAGCTCACATTACTTGTCAGTGATGAGGAGTTGGGTTTGAGGTAATAGAAATCTTCTGTTTCAGTGCAGTTATTCAGTAACTCAGTGGTTTAAACTTAACATTTTGCTTAGCTGCTAATGTACAATGTGAAGGTGCCTTTTCAAGTTTAGAATTGAATGCATATGATACTTGCAGTTCAGTGGGTATAATCTGGTTTCTCTCCAAAACCAGACAAAATAAATACCCAGGATACAGCCCAGTATAGGCTGTGATTGTGATTCCAATTACATGTTTCATACAAGTACATGAATCCAGGTTAAGGATAGTCTGCTGTCTAAAGTTTGTTTTTGCAATTTGGCTGTAAAGTAATGCCATGATATGTATGTGTCCCAGTGTTAAGCTATTGTCTGTAGTACAAGAACTCTGAATATTTAAACTTTCTGCCTCTTAAGTTTAAAGCACTGATGTCTTAAACTGAAGACTGTTGGTGGTAGCTTCTGAAGTCATGGTTTATATATTTTGCACTTCAAAAGCATAGTAGGGAACCTGTGGAGAAATCATATAAACCTCTTCAGTTTAGTCAGGCTGAATAGGAATTTTGTCTCTCCAGACTCCATGCCAGAGAAAATTTATTTTTACTGAAGCTATGGAAATCTTTCATCTGACACTTTTCTTCCTATACAGGTCTAAAAATTGTTCTTCCTGTTATGCCTACAGTTGTAGAGATGTTATATGTGGGATTCTTGTTTCATTAAATAATTGTGGAAAAAAGACCAACCTGACATTTGCAATTGCTTTTGTCTTTCTAAGTCTGACAGTTCATAGTAAAACTTCTATGTGTCCTATTTCTGGAAGCTAAGGAACATCCATTTATGATCTTCAGGTGTCTCAGTCTCCTGCAGCTAAAGCCTTACAGATAGATTATACTCTGGCCAGAGTTTCATTTTTGTACCTGAACCTCTGAGTCCTTAGTGCCTAAGGAAGCTTCCATGTTACAGAAGTTTTAAGATGCTCCTGAGACTTTCAACTGATGCTGTTTATTTAGGAAATCTTTTAAAGAGGACTTACATTAGAGTAAAGACTTAATCTAGCAATGCATCTTTATACTTGTGATACCTTCTATTGTTATTTAGGCTAGCATTGACTAGACTTTAGCAAATGAGTGTATGTCAGGAATTTTACCGTCCCAGTAACTTCACTAACAAATGGGTAATGCAGCCAGTAAGGAGATGTGTGTTTCAGTACTTGCCTTATTTAAGGTAGAACCTTCCTGCTCATCTGTCACTTACTCTCTTTCTTTCAGTTGGTATACAGTTCTGGATTATTTTTTTTTTCCCCTCAAATGTAATTTCTCAGGATACACAATGCTTTTTGCACCTTTAAAGTTCTCATTTATATTTTATGGATATGAACCTACCACTTTTGCAACAAAATATGTCACAAATTTTGCTCCCTAGTGAAAGCATTTGGTTGTACACATTCTTCAAAACATTTGTCTTGCAGTTTGGCTAGTTGATGATTGCATCCTATAAAGAAGGCAGAATTAATCCAGCCAAAAGAATTCTACCAGAATACTTTTTGTTACAAATGAAAGTCCTTTCTTTTCTAGATGCCTTGTTGACAACTTCAACAAGACGCCTTGTTGAACAAGCTGGCTTCTGCCCAGGGGTATTTTACAGTGGAATATCTGCAAATCATTAATATAAATGCATTGAGTAATTGGATACTAACCTGCTGCCATTTCCTCTCTAACCATGATGTTTTTACTGTGGTTTTACTGCCTGCACTTCAGTGATTTTTACTTCTGTTTTGACTTGTGCCAAAATAATTAGATCAAAAGAAAAACCAAAAGTATATCTCAAGGATATACTCTTGCTCTGTCATTTCTCTTACATTGAGTGGTGCTTTATTAAATGCTGTAGTTTTAGAAAAGTAGATGAGCTTTGGGTTCTAGGGCTAGTTTCAGGCTTGAAGCTTTAAGTCTTGCTGACTGGAGTTCACATCAAGAGTCATGAATTTGTGCCCAGAGTTGTTTAGTTATTTGCCTCCATCTAATTCATCCATCAAGTAATTGTCTTTAGATTTTACAGTGATGAGGGTGAGGAAAGAACATTGCCTATGTACGGTCACTTTTTCCTTTCACAGAAAGAAAACTTAGTTGTATTTAAAAAACTGTAAAGTATCCAATTAAACTCTATGGATTATAACCCGAAAGAATAAAAAGAAAGGTGGTCCCTCTTTTGGTCTCCTACTGTATTTTTCTGCAGGAATATTTTATTTACAGATGTTTGCAGGGCAGCAGTGTGCTCATCTGTCCACACTTGTTGTGAGTGTTCTGCCAGTGTAGCAGCAGCTTCCACACTGCAGTCTTGAGGAAACTCTTGTACGTGATCATCAATAGATTCCAGTGTGTTCCTGGCACTGGGAATACCTTTGCAAGCTCCTACAAATGACCAGTGTGTGCAGGTGTCCAGAAAAGACTTATCTCTAATTTTAATGTAATTATTTGAGGGGTGTATTTGTATGCATGTATTCCATCATCCATCTTCCTTCTTGTAAGGCAGTACTAGAGGAGTTTGCAAAAGAATTGGCTGGCTTGGGGTGCGTGGTGTTGTGACTGTCTCTGCATGAGGCACAATACTCAGTGGGACATCTTTACCTTTCTCAGAGGGGACAGTAGAAGTTGACATGCTCTGAATACATTTGAGTGGAATAAATTTAGAATTAGAATTATGTGCAGAATACCTTAAAGTTTTGTTGTAGTGGAAATACAGCCATTCTCTTACTTTTCATGAGTTCTAAACATAAGAATAGTGTGTTATTTGTAGTACATGTCTGTGTGCTCAAAGAGGTTTAGAGTACTTTGTGTTCACTAAAAGGAAGAATCGTATTCCTAAACTCAGAGTAATGTGATCATCTTACTAATGTTGGGGTTTACCCATTTTAAACACAGACTATAATCAGATTGGTGGGAATGTTTCATCTCTTCTTTAGCCTGTTACAATTTAAAAGCATAACTTCCGGAACTATAGATTTCTGCTTGTACTACTGTGTTTGTAGATACTGAGTTTAATCTCATGATATGGTTAGTCCATTTAAATCAACTGAGCATCAGCTTGGCACAGCTGAGATTAGATTCTACCTCGGTACTGTGCATCTAAGCAAGCAAAACCAATGGAACTGTCTAAAAATAACATTATAACTACTGTGGAATTATCTACTAACTTTAGGTATGTCTGAATTTTGAAAGAGTTTAGGTACTAGAATAGAGCAGTTGTAAGGGATTTTTGTTTTTTTCCTTTTTAGGAAATGTGCACTGTTGAAGAACCCAATGAAGAGTTCACATCTAGGCACAGCTTAGAATGGAAGTTCCTATTCTTGGATCACAGGTGCAGTTCCTTCTGCGTAGTAGCAATAGCAACTGAACCACAGTGGTGGCTGTAGTATTTGGAGTTCACTAATCTGCATTAACTACTCATAGCTTGTGTTGAGTTTAATTTTTTAAATTTTTTTGGATCACATACTGTAAACAAGAAAGCTTATATAATTAATTCTGGTTTGTTTGAGATTGTTTCATGTGTGAAAATAAAATGACATTGATTTTTTTTTTTTATTAATTAGGGCACCTCCCATAATAGGTTATCTTCCATTTGAAGTTTTGGGAACATCAGGCTATGATTACTATCATGTGGATGATCTAGATAATCTGGCAAAATGTCATGAGCATTGTGAGTACAACTAAGTCACTAAAACAAGCAAGTTTGTGAAATTGTACAGTTGTTCTGGTGAAATTTTATGGTGTTTTGAGTGAAGTGTCTTTACTCCCATTTGTTTGACATTATTATACTCCTGTATCTTTTTTTCTTTTGATGCAGAACTACAAAACAGATTTAACTTCATCTTAAAATTCTAGGGTTTCATTGTGGTAAATTGGAGTGCACAGCTCTATGACTAATACTTTTCCACTTCTTCCAATAGCATTTAAAAGGCTTTATAATGTTTAATAAGTGCAAAAATTGGTAGAAAACTTTCAAACCTGTTCTTATTCATTGTCTTAATACTGGATTTAAACATGGATTTGGGCTGTATGAACCTGGGAAATTATGTTCTTTTTGTGTAACTGGAGTATTTACAACCTGACAAGACAGTAAACTTTATTCTTCATCTTTATAGTAATGCAATATGGGAAAGGGAAGTCATGTTACTACAGATTCCTTACAAAGGGACAACAGTGGATTTGGCTGCAAACTCATTACTATATCACGTATCACCAGTGGAATTCCAGGCCAGAGTTTATTGTCTGTACGCACACTGTTGTAAGGTAGGTTGCTTTTTAAAGTAATCCTGCTGGCATGGGAGCTATCTTGATGGTATTTTGGAGGTAGAGAAATTATAGCAGTGTGAAGAATCACTGGAAAACTTCCTGGGATACTTTATAAGCAAGGTGGGTCTGAGGAGTTTGGTCTTTGAGGCTTGTCTTTTAACATCCCATGATAAAGTATTCATCCTTGGTTTGTTCTTCTAGTTATGCAGAAGTTAGAGCAGAAAGACGACGAGAACTTGGTATTGAGGAATCTCTTCCAGAGATAACAGCAGATAAGGTGAGTGTGTTATAGAAATTTATTTTACACCTTCATATACTAAAAATAATGTGCAAGCAAATATACAGCGGCAAAAATTGTTTTGTCCCATTTGTCCCCAAATAAAGTAATTATTTGATCTCTAAATAATGTGACTATTGAAAATGATCAAAGAAGTCTAGAAAGAGCATTTAACTGTACTCTGCCTATAACAACCTTCTCTTTTCAGGAATTAATGTGCATGTAGTTATAACATGGTAGTACCCGTAAGTTTTTATTAAGATCTGATTTCTGCAGCGTTAGATTCCTAAATAAATGGTCTCCCTTACTGGAAGTACCCATAGTCTGAAAAAACAAGGTCAACACACCAAGAAGGAATTCACAATAGGAAAGTAGGAGCTGTTCAACTGTGTGACTGTCCCACTTCTTAGAAGTATACAAAATTCATTATGAATTAATGTCCTTGGAAGCTCAATGAGTTTTATCAGCTTGTGGAGATGAACTGACATGTTTTAGTCTGACAGTTCAGAAGTGTTTTCCTTTGGCAGTTTCACAAGTTTCATCTGTCGGTGCTCCTAGTGGAACAAACTCATTCTTTCTCAAAAGAATAAGCAGTTCACTCTACACTGTTGTTCAGAGTGAATTGTGTGGCTACAGAAAGAGGTCAACTCAGTAGTCAGTTTTTGTCACCTAAGTCTGCATGCATTTTGGTTTCTAACCTTATATAGCTTTGGTTTCCAAGGATAAAAGCCTCAAATGGAAACAGAGCTTACAGCCATCAAACCTGCCACTACTTCTGCATGATCACCTGTGTAAGGGAGTTGATGAGAAACAAAAAGGTCTGAGATACTTTCTAACAGAAATACACATTGTGAGCCTGATTCGATAAATATTTGTTGTTTGTGTGTCTCTTCAGAGTCAGGACTCTGGGTCTGACAATCACATAAACACAGTGAGTCTCAAAGAAGCACTGGAAAGGTTTGATACCAGCCCCACACCTTCTGCTTCCTCCAGGAGTTCAAGAAAATCTTCACATACTGCAGTGTCGGATCATTCATGTAAGCACCAACTACTGAAAATAGAATTGCCTTCCTAATGAAGGCTTTCTCTACTTAATTTAGTTTCATGTATAACTGGCAGTTAATAATTATTTTATGACAAATGTGCAAGTGAAAATACCCTTTTTGATGGTTCAGAGATCTGCAGACTACTCTGCAAAAGACTTTTACTTTTAGGAGTACAGTATCAGACGCTACTACACCCTATTGCAATCAGATTGCACTACTGTTGGATAGTCAGGGGAAAAAAATGAATCAAAACCTTAATAGTTTTTTATTCATTGAAAGCTTCCTGTAATTAGATTATTGCATTACAGAATTGAGATAACAATTAACATGTTTCTTTCTGCTCTAACTCTCAACATTGTCAGCAACACCAACTAAAATGACAGTGGACACTAGCACTCCTCCAAGGCAAGGCTTATCTGGTCATGAAAAGACTGCGCAAAGAAGATCATCTCTGAGCAGTCAGGTAACTTCAGAGAAAAATGTATTTAAAAAGTGGAGTTAACCTTTAAAAGCTATTACTAAATCCATATGAGCTTTGTTTTATTTTTTTCTAAAAACACAATTTAAACTGTAAGAGTTTCTCTTGGAATATGTCTCTTGGAATTGCATCATCAGTATGAAACTTTGGTAACTAGATTTTAAAGGAATACAATAATTAAGCATATATGTACTTAGATTTTGTCATTAGGATTTGCAAGAATGTGAATGAATCTCTGTTTTCACTCATACAGAACTTCTTTCTGTGATTCTGGATTTTTAATACACACACATGCACACACATGCATACATATATATATATATGTAAAATTGCCAGTGTAAAGCTGTGTGTGTCCTTATCGAGAACTCATACAAATTTATGACTAAGAATATTAGTGAATACTACCATATCCTTTCTGAAATCTTGGTAGTATGTCATGCTTCATGTACTTGGTTCTCGTTTTCCTCTTGAACTAATACATTCACTTCATAAATGGAATGCTTATTAAAATATGTATTTCTAAAAATCTTTAGTTTAAGAATAAATCAAAGGTGTCAGCTTCCAAACTTGTTGAAGAAGTCCCTTAATACAATTAAGACTTCTAAAATTCTTGTAGTTGTAATTTCTGTTTTATACCTACTGCTTATTTATTTATTTAGCAGTGGAAAAATCATGTGTATATTATGTAGATAATAATCTGCTCTTGTTTTCTTAATTCTCTAATAATTAAGGTTAGATATTTCAGGAAACAATTTACTAATTTCTATTACACGATGCTGTTTTTGATTTGACACTTTAAAGAAATATTTCATGTAAAGTATGACGTTCATTCTCTTATGATTATGGAACATTTTTTTTTTTTAAATCCTAGTCTTTAAGCTCACAGTCTCTTGGACAACCAGTAACACAGCCAGCAATATCTCAGCCTGCAACTTTGCAGCTCCAGTCTGGAATGACTCAGGTATGGAGTAACTTGATTTATTGTTTGTTATTTTTTAAACAGTCTTGTTCTCTTAGAGAACAGCATTCTTCTGGAGTAATGGGCTGCTTGTGGCTTGGGTGGATACACAGTTCACTGAGTGAAAAACAGTTTGGATGACCAGGCCCAGAGAGTAGTGGTGAGTGGAGTTACATCCAGCTGGCAGCTGGTCACTAGTAAGGTTTCACAGGGCTCAATACTGGGGCCAGTCCTGTTTAATATATTCATTGATGATATGGACAAAGGCATTGGGGTCATCATCAGTGAGTTTGCAGATGACATCCAGTTGGGTGAGAGTGTTGATCTGCTGGAGGGCAGGAAGGCTCTGCAGTAGGGTCTGGACAGGCTTGATTGAGAGGCCAAGGTTCAACAGGGCCAAGTGTCAGGTCCTGAACTTGGGTCACAACAATCCCCTGCAGTGCTACAGTCTGGAGGAAGAGGGGCTGGAAAGCTGTCCAGCAGAGAAGGACCTCGGGGTGCTGGTGACAGCAGCTGAACATGAGCCAGCAGTGCCCAGGTGGCCAAGAAGGCCAATGGCATCCTGGCCTGTGTCAGCAATAGTGTGGCCAGCAGGAGCCGGGTTGTCCTCCTGTACTCGGTACTGGGGAGGCTGCACCTCAAATCCCGTGTCTAGTTCTGGGCCCCTCACTGCAATAAAGACATTGAGGTGCTGGAGAGAGTCCAGAGAAGGGCAGTGGAGTTGGTGAAGGCTCTGGAACATTAATCAGATGAAGAGTGGCTGAGGGAGCTGGGATCATTTAGCCTGGAGAAAAGGCTCAGGGGAGACCACCTGAAAGGAGGTTGTAGCAAGGTGAGTGTTGGACTCTTCTCTCAGGTAACAGGGACAGAGTGAGAGGAAATGGTCTTGAGACGCACCAGGGAAGGTTTAAATTGTATATTAGGAAAAATTTCTTTACAGAAAGGGTTGCCAGTCATTGGAGCAGGCTTCAAGTCATGGGAACAGGCTGACCAGGGAATTGGTAGAATCACTATTCCTGAGGGTATTTAAAACCATGTAGATGTCATCTTTAGGGACATGGGTTAGTGTTGGACTTGGCAGTGCTAGGTTAGTGGTCATCCTTGATGATTTTAAAGGCCTTTTCCATCTTAAACAATTCTCTGCTTCTATATTCTGAATATAATGTTGATTTCTCTTTTAGAAATTAAGTCCTTTGGTGCCAAATTATTCTCTTGAAATGAGAAAATTCCTTTATTTTTTTTCTTCCTGGTGTTTGTGTGGTTTTCAGCCTTGTGCATTAGCAGCATAGATATAAAAACAGTTAAAGTTAAAATATTTTAGGGAATTAATTTAAAAGTCCAGCAACTCTGCTGGCATATATATGCCTATATCCTTATAAAACAAGGCTGCTTGGTCTGTGAAATGGTTCTGTGTAATAACAAGATATAAGTATCAAAAGGTCATACTGACTTGGGGCCTGTAGCAAATGTCTGAGGAAGAACAGAAGTGGCATATAGTTTCTCTGTGGGCTCAGTCTTCAGCTTTTTGTGACTGAGGGTATTCCCAAGTTATTTGTATGTTTTAGCTCTCGGTGAATCTTTTTTTCTAAACTGGCACAATTCTAATTTTTAACATGAGAGAGCTTTAACATCCACAGTACCATGTAAATTACTAAGGCTACACACACACATATATATGACACCAGTCAGTTTCTTGTGCTATGAATTTTTTTAGTTCACCAATTCTAATGTATCAATTAAATGTTGATTCTGTGATGTTTTCATATTCATGAATTGATCCTCAGATTAAACCTCAGATCATGGTTTATTAGTGATTTAAGGAGCAAGGCTTGATTTCTTCTGTGGAAGACTGTACTTCTGTAAATAAATAGTAATTTTTGCTCAGCTTTTAATTTATTGATTGCACTACAGCCTGTGTTTCAGTTTTCAGCTCAGCTAGGAGCTATGCAACATCTTAAGGACCAGCTAGAGCAAAGAACACGCATGATAGAGGCAAATATTCATCGGCAGCAGGAAGAATTGCGTAAGATTCAAGAGCAGCTTCAAATTGTTCATGGTCAAGGACTCCAGGTGAGTTAGTGTATCACTTACAGGTTTAATCTATAGAGAATTTAGGCATCTGAAATGTGTCTTGGGCACCTCATTCCACAACAGGATCCTCCATATTCCCTGTCAGCTGCCATCTATGCCTAATATGTCCAAAATCCATATTATCTGAAGCTGCTGTTCCAGAGGTACCTGATGCTTTGCTACTGAATGTATCTGGAAATGCCCCAGTGTTGAGCAGGTCAAGCCTAGCTTATGACTTAACCTAATTAAAAGTGAAAGGATGGAGTGGTTGTCAATTCTTGCAAAGTTTTGCAGTCATTAGAATATTAATCCAAAATCTGAAAGTTGAGCATCTGTTTTTATCTTCTAACTCTGAGGCTGTTAAATCCATGTTTCTTTGTTTCTTAAACTGTCCTATCAGGCTGAATGGCTCGACTTTGCATGGTAAACTTGAAGGAGTTACTGAGCCAGAAAGACAAGAAGTCTAGAGGGTGCATTACTCAGTCTAGCAGCTGACTACCTGATTTCTGATTTTTTTTTTCTTTCTATTTTTGTCATTGTCTTTTCAGCAGCTATATTTGGAAGAAAATAATTACCCTTTTGGGCTTTTCTAGTGAAAAGACCCAAATTAAGAAAAAAAACGAAAACACCTCAAAGTAAGATATATTTTAGGGCAATAATTTAATATTTTCACTCTGCATTGTACTAAAGAGTAGAAAAAATACTTCCTGGAAGTATTGAGTATGTTGCTTAAACTCGGTTGGAAGAGAAAGAGTTTCTGGCGTGTGCCATTTTCAGTGTTGTGTAATGCCTAGTGTAAACATGCCAGCAGTAGACTGACTTATCCATGTTTCAGAGGGAGAGATTCGCTGCTCTCCTTCCTGTGCAGTGTGGAGGGGCCTTATTCAGGAATGTGAAAACTAGAGAAAATACTTCAGTGTTGCACATTCTGACTTGTAGGCTTGGGCCTAACTTTTTGTAAAGAACCTAGAATTGTGCTGAATTCTGTTTATTATAACAGTTTTGGAAAATTCAGTATAATCATTATGATTTCCTGATTGTCAGGGAAGATGACATTCTTGATGCTTTGCCTGGATCTACTAATTCAGAGATTTTCTTCATGTGATTTAGTGTTACTGCGGAACAGTAACACTAAACAGTTCTATCCTACAAATAGAAGTGACATCTCAAATATATTTTATCTTTAGATAGTTCTAGACTGCATTACTTGTTAGTCTCTAAATGGTGGTTTTTCTTTAAGAACAAATACTGAATACTAATGTTTAGAACTCTAGAAATCAGGATTCTGATTCTTACCAGTTAGAACTGAGTCACTGAATACTGACCCTGTAACTTGTGGAATTTCTTAAGATGTTCTTGCAGCAGTCAGCTTCTGGACTCAACTTTGGTTCTGTGCAGCTTCCTTCTGGAAATTCTTCAACTGTTCAGCAGCTTACACCAATAAACATGCAAGGTCAAGTTGTTCAGACTAATCAGACTCAAAGTGGGATGAACACAGGCCATATAAATACTCCACACATGATACAGCAGCAGCAGCCTTTGCAGAGTACTGCAACACAGGTAAAATTCTATTACTGATTTTGCTGGATAGAATATTTGCTCAAAACCGCAGCTGAAACACATCAGCTTCCCTGACATTCCTGTTATGAATGAATGTTTGAGATTGCTTAAAAATCATCAGCAAGGGTATCAGCAAAAGCCTGATTTAATATTAAGTGGCAGCACAACAAAGTTCGTTGGCAAGATTCACTCTACAACTTACAGGACAGTTGAGGCACAACAAGGAAGAAACAAGCAGCAACAAAACCAAACAAAATCGAGGCAATCAAAACAGAAGTGAATCAAGAACTATCTAGGGGAGAGAGTGTGTGTGTGTGTTTCGGTGCATGTTACAAAAGGATGGTGATGGCAAAGATAAAAAGGAATATGGCCTAAAAGCTTAACAGCACTCAGACTTACACATTAAACCTAATAATGTAACAAAGAAACAGCTCTTAACTCCTACTGTATATTTAACCATAACAATTTAGCAGAGGAATAACACTCAACAGCATGTATCCCCACGAAAGGTTCTAAAACACTTCTAATGGGTTTGATCATTATATGGAGTCTCTATACACATCTGGTCTCTGCGGTCACCCTCCTCTGTACCCTTTTCCACATTCCATACTTTCTTTTTGAGATTTGTGAAGAGGCAGACTAGTGATGCATTTTACCATCTCAGCAGTAGGCTAGTTCCAAATTTTCAAGTAAGAAATTCTTGACGTTATGTGCACATTTTAAGTTGGGCACAGAGATGCTAAAGGAGTAAAAAGATAATTTTGAACAGACAGTATGCAAGTAGCTGAAAAATTCAGGGAAAAATATAACCTGAACAGGAAAAGAAGTTAATGTAAGAGACTTGATTTCCAAGGTCCAGTCCCTCCTCTAAAGCCTCAGTCAGTAGAAATAACTGTGTACTTTGAATTAAGAATTTGTTTTAATAGAAAAAAAACACTGGTAGTTTTGAAGTGTGGCAGTGGCAGTGAGGAGAACAGCTATAGAACCTGGCTGTTTTCAACTTACTATTTCAAAATTTCTTTTCAGCATAATCAACAAAATGTGCTTAGTGGACACAATCAGCAGTCTTCTCTTGCCAGCCAGTCACAGAACACAGTCTCGGCACCTTTGTACAACACTATGGTGATTTCTCAGCCAACAGCAGGAAATGTGGTGCAGGTTCCCTCTAGTTTATCACAGAACAACAACCAGAATGCTGCTGCAGTAACCACTTTTACACAGGACAGACAAATCAGGTAAATCTTCAAGACCTATATTTAAGATGACTTTTTGTAATGGTATGCTTGTGCAGCTGCACCATATACAAAAGGAACTAAAGTGGCGTTAAAAAGATCGTGTGATTCGTGTTTCAACTGTATGGATACAACCCTTGAAGCTAAACTGCCCAAAGTAACATGTTCGCAGGCTTATCAAAACTCATGTTGTTATAACAAGTATGACTTTGAGTAATCTGCCTTTCACAAGTGTATGTGATGCTTCATATGTTTTTCCTGAAGGAACTCCAAATGTCTTTTTCTGTTAACAGATTTTCTCAAGGTCAGCAACTTGTAACAAAACTTGTCACGGCCCCAGTAGCATGTGGAGCGGTAATGGTACCAAGTACTATGTTCATGGGACAGGTGGTGACAGCTTATCCCACTTTTGCTGCCCAACAGCAGCAGACACAGACTTTGTCAATAACACAACAACAGCAGCAGCAGCAGCAGCAACAGCAAAGTCAGCAGGACCATCAGCAGCAGCTCACCACAGTACAACAGCCAGCTCAGTCACAGCTGACCCAGCACCCTCAGCAGTTCCTACAGGTAATGAATGTAGAGCTGTTTACAAATTTTCCAAGTCCTGCACTTTCAGCATTGCTGGGTAATCCGGGGGTGCTTTACCTGAAAACAAAGCATGTAAAGTTGTAACCTGTGAAAAAGCCCCATGCATGAGGTATGTTTATTCTGTAGCTATTCTCTAAAATCCTATTACTTAAAGGAGAGGTGGTCTTTCCAGCAGTGTTACTCCATGCATTGTCCTATCTTACATCTTTTCTGCCCTTTGAATTGCTGCTCTTAGTTGTCTGTGGGATGAAAAAACAGATGTTTCCTTCAAAACATTTACAAGTTTACATTTATTAACTTTACATATTAATGCAGTAAGGTATGAGAGATTATAATTGGTCTGGAAAGCAGCACAGAGCCCAAAGCATGACACATCCCAGTAACATGAGGTATGAAGTTTTGTCAAGGCTACAGGGGACCTGAGCAGCAAGTAACTTTGTAAGCAGACTAGGGAAGAACCTTGTATTAGTGGAAAAAGGAAGAGATTGAGGGTCAAAAGAGAAGGAGGACAAACCCCAAGAAGTTTAGAAATAGGAAATCTCTAAAAGATATAGAAGGTAGAATAAATTGATGGGGAAATCTGTTGCCATTTGTTGATTCCAATTAATTACTGACATGTGGGTTACGCAGCATCTGGAGTTGGTGAAGGAAATGTCATGCTGGCTAGAGCACTAGAGAAGCTGTTTAGCAGGTTGGTAGTATCTGTATCTCTGCTTCTAAATTTAAAAGTTCATACAATTTTGACTTAATTCCAGTGTAACAGATATGTCAAATATGGAGATCTCAGAAGGTCTGTTCCTACTGTAGAATTTCGTTCTAGGCCTAGTCTAGTATTTTTAATACAAGCGAATAAAGTGCTCAAATTTGAAGTGAAGCAAATACTCTTTAAAAAGGACAAAAGTGCTTTTTCTGCTTCTGTTCACTGGGGCATCTTACAGTTTGGTTCTGTAGGTGGAGCAGTTGACGTACTTTACTTTCTGCAGAACATTTCAGGACTGAGACATCCTAGAACCCATCCTCCATTGTTTTTCTTCACTGAAAATTTTTTTGTTTGTTCTAAGAAGAATACTGCTAAAACTAACTGCCATTTCCAGTAGTAATAAGTCTCCTTCAAAGGGGATGTTTGGGTCTGCAAATGCACCATTTTCTTTGTGTCTTTTGTCTGTGGGGAATAAATGTGATCTGAGCCAAATCATGCACTATTTTTTCATTCAACTGCAATGACAGCTGCCTACACTTACTCAAATAGATTCCTTATGCCCTGCTATGCTTTTGTGGCTTGAAATGAAGACAAATTGCCATATGTTCCTACCTATCACCACAGAAATTCCAAATTACAGCTGCTTTATTAATTGGTCAGACGCACTGCTTAAATGTATTAGTATGAACAAATCTTCATGTTGTTTATTCAGCTTAACTGGCCAAATCCAAGAATTATTTTGATTGAACCCTTATGAAAAGTTAAAAAGCAGCTAGGCCTGTGTTTCTCAGTGCAGCAGGAAAAACAGTTTTTTTCTATTCTCGTGTTTTAGACATCCAGGTTACTTCATGGAAATCAGTCGGCTCAGCTTATTCTATCTGCTGCTTTCCCACTACAACAAAGCACTTTCACTCAGTCCCACCACCAGCAGCATCAGTCTCAGCAGCAGCAGCTGTCACGACACAGAACTGACAAGATGACTGATCCTTCCAAAGTTCAGCCACAGTAGTGTGGGTGCTGCCTCTTTTTGAAGCAAACTGCCAAGAGGGGCTGCCCCACAGACAGTTGCACTGAAGCTACAGAGGTAACAGTACGAAGGCTTTCTACCACCATGGTGTTGAGATCTCCTTTTAACTTCTGGAATCTGTTAAGAAAAGCCACAAGATGATGATGGGGACATGGCCGACTTTGAGAGTTGCCCCAGTTTCTGTGTTCTAAAGGATTTGCTGCCATGTTGTAATTTGTCCAGGTGAAATCTCCAAATGTGACTGAAATGAGAGTGATGCTGAAAATATTGGTATTTTTATCAATTCTGTACATTTTTAAAGTATTAAAACGGACATGGAGCAATTGTTTTGAATTAGCAGGAAAAAATGCCAGAAATATAGTCCAAAAACCATCTAATTTTTTTTCAGATGATTACAGGACAGTAAATATTTTGAAAATGTTGTGTGAAATCCAGTTCTCTGTTGTACAGATGCTGTAAAATATTGTGTATATGTCTGCATAAAAGAGAAAGAGCAAAATATTTTATATGATGCATGAAAATGTAATCTGTTATTTGTAGGTTTGAATATGTTTCCCTAAATTCTCACGCCATACTCAGACTAATGTTTTCCTCTGTTCTACCCTTTTGTTTACAACATGATGCATCATTATTTTCACCCTTAATGTGGGCACAAGTCTCTTGTTTGTGCTTTGTCTGTGATGTCAGGGTTTGTTCGGTGAGGTATAGTGTGTTGGTTAGTTGACTGCTTGAAGTTAAATTATTGATGAAGCTGTTTGAACTGGTGATCATGCATCAGGGTTCAGGACATTCAGATTCATAAATATCATCCATCATTTCATAATGAATTCATAATTTTATTTGAAAAATAGGAATTTGCACTGCTTTCTTGCGGATGGTTTGGAATTTTATTCCCCAAAGCTATCTTTTGATATAGTTCATAGTTGGAAATATTTATGTAAAAGGTTTAAAAAAAATGACAGTAATTTTCAAGAATGTTTCAGTTATAGGAGTAATTTGCACAAAAATATATTTACATTTAATAACCTTTTGGGCACTTTTTAACCACTTTCTCTGTGGTGAGAATTGTAACTTGTTAAACCATGTTGGAATCTTTTTATTCTCCTTCAAAAATTAGTCAGAACTAATTCAGGGTCATTTTAACAACAACAACAAAACCCATAGTGCCTTGATTTTAATTCAGGTGATAATGTTGAACATCTTGAATTACAATGTCTTGAATCTGTAACCATTTCCAATTTTGAAGTCTTAGCACATTGTCAACCAAACTTGTGTATCTGCTTCATAGATATTTCTGTATTGTGTTAATTTTAAGTGGTCTGAGTTGAGACCATGAATATTTTTGACTGGTACTCCCCCTCAGACAGTAGCCAGAAATATAGGAGTCTCAAAAATCTCAGATCTTTAAGGTAATACTCTTAAAAAAAAAATTAAAAAAAAATGCAGCAAACCTTAAAAGACAGGACTCCTTTTGCAGAAGGAAGAATAATGAGCTGATTTTTTCTTTTTTTAATAATTTTTGGAAGCATGGGGGAGATCATGATTGCATTTAACACTACCAGGTATTGATTTAAGAGCTATCACTGAACTAAGACTTCAGAAGGCAACTTCACTTTATAAAGAAAATAAAAAGTTCCAACAGATATGTGCTATTTAAGTAAATGTTGGTAGGTTTTTATGGTACTAGTTTGTGGAAACCAGAACTTCGGAGGAAAATTAATAAATGCTGATAGATCTGATAATTAATTAAAAACAAAAACCAGTAAAAGCAGTTAAAACTAGTGCTAGGGAGAGAAAGCTGGATTAATCTTGAATTCTAAGGAGGAGTTGAATGAATGTAACCAAATGGTGATGGTCTATTTTGTACTATGGAACAGTTTGATTGTATTACTGGATGAACCAAACCTGCAGGAGGTAATACCAGTTTAGCCAAGCCTTTGATGCCGTTGGTTACGTTTTGGGGCAAGCCTTCGCCTCTGCACGTGTCCCAGCATTAGACCTTTGTTACTCCCCAGTCATAAAGCAAATGTTTGGCACCAAAAAGCCAAGCAGTGAACAAGGAGAGTGTGAGAAACACAGTACCAAAGAGAATCAGATTGCTCTCTGCTCCAAGAAGCCTATTGCAACTTGGAGCAAGGAACAGATGCCAATACCAAACATAGCAAGAAACACTTTCCCTTCTTTAAAGGGAATTCTGGCATTCTTCAGACTGGGATAATTGTCAGAGACCTGTTTCTGTAAAGTTCTATGTAAAGAAATCCTGCCTTGCTCTGCTATCCCTGCCACTCCATTCCACCTGTTTCTATATGAAGCTGCATTGACTAGAGGTCTGTGCTATCACTTCTTTGCCTAATGGAAGATAGGTTAGATACAGATTTCTTTAACCAATTACAATAAAAATATAGCTCTAAAAAAGAAAACTGGGAGAGCTTTAATAGTGCTGTTAGAACTACTGAATAGTGGTAAAATAGGTATATTAAGCTATTATACTGAGAATTACAGAAATTAGAGATACCAGCCAGACAGTTAATGATGCAGCTTTTATATAAAGCTTCATTTCTCTTCCCATTCTCCCCATCCCAAATAGTGTGCTGCTATAGGTCTGTCAGTAAAAAGGCTAAACTAGGAGAGAGAAATTAGATGGTGGTAGCATGGCTGCTGAAAGAGAATATAGAAGTGTATGCTTTGATCAAGAAACTTTTTGAAGCCTCAGAGGGAGGTCATTCAATTACAGAACTACCAGTTAGTAGAGAAGGGATAGAAGATGGGGAAATTCTAAGGAATTGGAAAACTACAGCACACATTTGAAGAATTCCTGAAATGAATCAGGCAAACTCTGCTAAGGCAAGTGTGTAGAACTTGGCCCAGGTTGTGTGCAAGTATGGAGATGCTTTGTTCACAAGCAGTGACTAAAAAGTATATATTTAACAGGTCTGCAGCTTCCCTTGTTGCTGAATCAATTGCTGAACTGTCCTTGAGTTTTAGTGATAAGAGGACCAGGCTGTTGCCTCTTTCTTAATCAGCCTTTTGCTTCTGCCTGACTCATTTACTACAGACTTACTTGCAACATCCTCATAAATAGCACGACAGTGAATGCCGTGATGCTGCAGGTTCTGGAGCAGAAATGTTGCAGAACGACTCTGACAGAAGGGAAGGAGTCTGTTAAGGGGAGGATTGTATTTGTGAAGAAATGGGCTGGTGATACTTCATGGAGTGAAAAGGACGGCATTTGCACAGAGTTTAGGAGACAGATGTTGACTGCAATGGGTGAGGCTTTGAAGAAAAGTGGGATAACTTCAGAGAGAAAAAAGAATATAGCTATTTTTATATTATATTTAATATATATTATATTTGTATATAAATATGAAACGATTCTAGTAGGAGCTCTCCATATGCCTTCCACTTCATCTAGAAGGTTTACCTTCTGCACTACGGTTCCAGTGTGTCACCACCTTCTGTGGGCATCTTGCCTACTGCCAAACACCAAAATTAGTAACCCAGCATCCTTACAAAAAAATAGGTTTCATTTCAGCTTTATGTAAAAATGAATAAAATAAAGATATATCAGGCAGTTTTTCACAGGAAAAAGAAATTATCTTAAGACTTAAATAGCACTTTCTCTTTTTGTTTTTAGGTTGTTTTTTTTTTTGAGTAATAACAAGCACTTTACTGAAAAGACTATTTGAAAAACAGTTTATTTCTTTAGTCAGTGAAACTGTTAAAAAGGGGGCGCATTGAGGAATAACAGATGAAAATGTCAAAAGAGACATTTCTGGAAAATGTTTCTTTATTATGGTGATCCTTTGAGGTTTAAAGTGCAGGATTAAAAAGGCTTCTAAAACCAGTTGCCTTTGTGTTTTATATGGCCAGGGGAAGGGATTAGGGATGATAGCTTCCTTGGAAGGAGGCTTTTTAAGTTGCACAGTTGCCTATGAGAGAGATCATCTGGAGGCTCATTTGCCTGCTCAATAATTCTAAGTGTCCCTTAGGATTATAAATTATGTTAAAATGTTCTGAAGGTTTAAAGATGTGGCCTTTTTCAAATGTTAAAGTCGATTCAAGAATCATTTATATTTTCAGAGATTTAACCCAGGTATTGTTATGAGTGTTTTAAATGTCATGGCATCAGGAGATGTTAAACATGTCAGATTCATAAGCTTCTCTATTTGAAATAATTATTAAAATTAGATGTACAGTCAGAGGGCTGGAAAATGGTTATTTTGATTAAAGGGAAAAGAGACTAGTTTTAATAATTAACCTTTTATTTTTTTACTTATCCCTGGTGGAAAAAAATTGAAGAGAATGAAACGGATTTGGATTAAAAAAGACATATTTAAACAAATCATAGTAGATGAGACAACTGTGAGAGAACATTTGAAATTGTCTTGGTTGTCCATGAGACTGGGTAGTTGCTTTTTCACTACCATGTTTTTAACACTACATTCCTTGTCTTTTTCTTTTTTTGTCTTTTTTAAACAGGTGATTTTAAACTCTGCGATACTTCATGCTATGCCATCTGCATGAATTTTGCCAGCATGATATGCTATATTAAAAGAAAGTATACCTAAATAAAAAGGAAGGGGGGGAAAAAAACACTGTGTCTGAAAAAATACTTTATGGCCTAATAACAGAGAACCCAGCTATGACTGAGAGATGCTGCATTAATAGACAATCAATCAATGGGTAATTATTTATGAAACTTTTGGGAATGGTCTTAAAGATGTAACTGCTTTGAAAGCAGTTGGTGAGTTGTCTTTTTCTAACAAGAAAGGTAAAAAATATTTATTTTCAAATATATCAGATTGAATTTTGAGTTTTTAAGCAGTGTTGATTTCACAGTGTCTTGGGTTTCAGTTTTGTTTTGTATTTTTTTAACTGGCATTAGATTTATATACGTAAAAAAAAACAAACAGAAAAACCCTAGTGCCGTTCATATTGACGTCAGGAAATGTAGATACAGTTCCCTGGTGTTCATGTGACCATTACTAACTGTCAATTTTTTAACTGAATAAATGTAACTCATTTAAAATTTTGCTTTCTGTAGCTTCTAAGGTTCTAGAAGTTTTTTTCTGAGTTGCTTGATGTCAGTTTTATCCAAGTTTCACAGTGAAGCGCTCTTACCCTTCCCACGACTGTACCAAAGGCACTCTCTCTCCCCCACCCACAGAACTGACTTGTGAGAAGTTGCTTGATGTCACTTTTATCTTCTCTCCCCTACCCAGACAAATGACTTGTGAGATTTCAGTAAAAATGCATACTGTATTTTTTCCTTGTCTTCTCTCTGTATCTCTTTATAAACTGATGCCCCACTCTAAAGGCTAGAGACCTCTGATTTGTGTATTTACATTACTGCCTTTGAATTTACTCACACAGCACTTGATGGAGTGCACACAACTTAAAACTGCTTTCACACCTTCGTGTCTACACTCCCTGTTCTTGCCAAAGGATGGGCGGCACTGCAGCGGGTTTGGATGGGCAGAGCCCTTCCCTCACTTTCTGTCATGGGCAGAACACTCCTCTCTTTCAGTTGGTGCCACTCCCCTCCCTGGGTATTTCTTCTGCTGGTGAAATGTCAAAGAATAGTACTTTAAAGGAGTAGAGGTGGTCTGAAATGTTGGCTGTGCCACTGAGCAAGGAAGCAGAGACTTGCATTTAGCTGCAAGCACAACTTGTTGAGAGCATGTAGCTCCTGCCTGGAAGAGCTGTGTGATGATACGTAACCTGTCAGGGTGGTCTGAGCCTCTTTTCACTGATCAAAGTGTAAACATCTGTAATTCCAAATTAATGAAATGTTCAGGGAAAGGAGGGTGGAAAAAAAATGGTGTAATTGAGACTGAATGCCTGGAGAAAACGATAAATACACTTAGCCATTTTTAGTCTGCACTACTTTCTTTTTCTGTAATATCACAGCAGATGCCCAGAGGAAGATACTGATCTTTTGCCTTTAAGATT